ACACAGTAAGGAAATTGGGTGTTTCCATCTCTTTTTCTAATTGTGTCTCTTGCTATAGGTGCATGTTCAAGAATGCATGAAAGAAAGAACACAAACTGTAAACATTGTTAGATCTATATAGTATTTATTTTTAAAATATTTTTGTTTGAACTATTTATCCACTGTGCAAATGTTGCGGAACCACTATTATTGATAGCTTTTTGCCACCTATAGTAGTGGGAATCTCCACTTTTTAAAGTGTAATTTACCCACTTATGGAGTGAGCTATATGATGACTTTTGAACACACCTTTTTTGGTGTGAACGACCCACCATTATTTTTGCAGTGCAGACTCAGAATATTGGGATTTATTCTGAACTGTCACAGAATCAATTTGAACCATTTTCCAATGGGAGAGATCCTGCAGTTCCTGCTGCTAATGATTATGAGAGTCCTGTTGATGTGAATATAATGACTGTTAATAATGATCCAGTTTATTCACTGGCTGAAACTGAGGAAGAAACTGGTAGCTATGACAAGTTACAAAGGAATTAACTGTGGCATTAATTTTTAATGTTAAAGTGTATTTCAGTTTTATTACTATTATTATACATTTTATACACATGTGACTGCTCAATGGGTGTGGTGATCATATCTGGTGTACGTGTGTACATATAAGCATACGGCAACATGCACATACAATATAGCTGACCAACTTCCTAGAAAGCTGTAAGCTTTGGTAAATTTCAATATGTTGTTCAAGAAGTGCCACTTGGTCCAGTTCCTTGTCTGTATTAGCATAGCTGTTGTGGCAGTTGAATTTGTTGAAGGAACATGTACTAAAGGAGCCATCAGATATGATCCAGAATACAGCAATACTGTTATACAGATATGCTTTAATAATAGATGGGGATATATCTGCACAAACAATAATGAAGTACCCAGGCAAAGAATAGCTAATGTAATCTGTCAACAGATGGGATATTCTAGACACTCTGATACTGGTATGCTTAAGTTGATTATATTGTTATGATATGTCATCATGTAGGTATGACTCAGATAAGAATAGATCCTGCTCCTACAACTGATTTTATTCAATGGCTTCATTGCTCAGATAAACCAATTCCACAGCAGAGCATTTTAGATTGTTCACATCAAATTTATAGCTATCGCTATCGGCCCGTTCTGAGATGTTCTACCTACTATCATATTGCTGCTAGTAATTGTATCAGTACCTCAGTCTGTCAAAATGGACAGATACAATTACTTGATACTAATGCTGTATTGCTGTGTGTAAATGGAGAGTGGCATGCATTATGTAATACAACATGGTCCTATACTCAAGCACAAGTTGTATGTAGACAATTAGGAAAGAATGCACAAGGTATGCCCACTTCATTACCAATGTGTTTAATGATGTAATTCTATAGGAGCTATGCCAGTTAATGTTTCAGTACCTACCAATATTTCAGTGTTAAAAGCTAACTTTGAATGTAATGGAAATGAAAAGTTTCTTTATAACTGTTCAGATTATCGCTTAAATTCCTGTAGTAGTGGCACTGTTGCTGGTGTTATATGTGAAAGTAAAGTTATAGATTGTGTTATTATTAATTACATTATTTATAGACTTGCCTGGACCTCCTTCTAATCTTACTGTCGATAGTAAACAATCAGATATTATATTACATTGGAAATACACTGATAGAAACAGTGATATGTCCAATTTCAGTGTTTACTGTAAAAACATGATTGTTTATTCCCAACCACACATAAAGTTCAAAACTGAACTAAACATACTGACAAAGAACAACAGTGCAACACTGATTGGTTTATTAGCCAATACTGTGTACACATGCTGTGTGTCTGCTGTATTCCTTTATATGGAGACTGAATCAACATGCATTAATGTAACAAAAGGTTAGCTTTGTAATTTTAATTTAAAATATGTTCTTATTTGCAGGATTGCAAGAAGCTAGCTCTAGCACTTCTTCTACATTATCATCTACTCCTGCTGGTAACTTAAAGAGCATAAAATTAATGGTTTCATTATTGTGTATTTATTACAGCTACTGCAACTGTAGCATCATCATCATCAAATGGAGCTATCTCATGGATTGGTGGAATATTTATTGGTATCATTATCAGTGCAGTGTTTGTTATTATATTATTATTGATTATCAAAATTGTCATTACAAGAAGAAGTAAAGAAAAACAATTTGAACCTAACAAAAGGTACAATCAAATGCTTTATTTTATATGCCATTATGGTATTACTAATAAAGGTCATCATTACAAAGTGATAATGTAAATGTCACATCCACTGTTTACCATCAGTCAAGAGGTCAGACTCAGAATATTGGGATTTATTCTGAACTGTCACAAAATCAATTTGAGCCGTTTTCCAATGGGAGGGATCCTGTAGTTCCTGCTGCTAATGATTATGAGAGTCCTGTTGATGTGAATATAATGACTGTTAATAATGATCCAGTTTATTCACTGGCTGAAACTGAGGAAGAAACTGGTAACTATGACAAGTTACAAAGGAACTAACTTCATCATGAAATTATTAATAATTATTTTATATTCAATCAACTATTTTATAATTTTGTTGCTATTATAATGCATAGCTAATAATAACGGTATAAATTAAGTTTGTGTCACACCCATGAAAGTTCTTGGTCTGGTTACAAATTAACAGATAGTGAATGCACATAGACATAGATCTATAAGCATTATAATGTAAAAATTGTGCTACAACATGTACCTTTATGCAATATAATGTACTGGCGGTGCCTTTGGTACACCCACATAATATACTATAACAACAAAACAAGGTGCCCATAGCTACCTTATGTAGAAGTTAGTTGTATTATAATCTATCACAGTAAAGTTCAATGAAGAACATAAGTTCAAGATCCAGGCACTTCCTTCTCTTTTTCATCCTGTTACTCTTCAATGTAGCAGTTAGATTTGCTGAAGGAACATGTACTAGGGGAGCCATCAGATATGATCCAGAATATAACAATACAGTTGTACAAATTTGTTTTAATAATAGATGGGGATATATCTGTGCAAGCAGTAGTGAAAGTCAAAGGCAAAGAATAGCTAATGTAATCTGTCAACAGATGGGATATTCTAGACACTTAGATACTGGTATGTACTGATGTTAAGTTGATTCATTTCATGTCATGATATGCCACATGATAGGGATCAATCAGATAAAAATAGAACCTGCTCCTAAACCTGGTTTTATAGGATGGCTTCATTGCTCAGATAAACCAATTTCACAGCAGAGCATTTTAGATTGTTCACATGAAGTTTATGAGTTAGCTGACTCCGATCCCATTTGTTCTAACTACAACCACTATACTGCTGCTAGCAATTGTATCAATACCTCAGTCTGTCAAAATGGACAGATACAGTTACTTGATACTAATGCTGTATTGCTGTGTGTAAATGGAGAGTGGCATGCATTATGTAATACAACATGGTCCTCTACTCAAGCACAAGTTGTATGCAGACAACTAGGAAAGAATGTACAAGGTATAGATACTCATGCATTATGATGATGTGTTTACAAATGTTATTGTAGGAGCTATGCCAGTTAATGTTTCAGTACCTGCCAATATTTCAGTTTTACAAGCTAAGTTTGAATGTTATGGATATGAAAAGTTTCTTTATAACTGTTCAGATTATCGCTTAAACTCCTGTAGTAGTGGCACTGTTGCTGGTGTTATATGTGAAAGTAAAATTATAGATTGTGTTATTATTAATTTTGATAATATTTTATTTATAGATTTGCCTGGTCCTCCTTCAAATCTTACTGTCAATAGCCAACAGTCAGATGTTATATTACATTGGGAATACACTGATGATGCTAATAATGTGTCTAATTTCAGTGTTTACTGTAAACATAACAAGACTGTTGATTCTCAACTGCACTTGAATATCAAAACTGAGCTAAGCCTACTGACAAAGAACAACAGTGCAACACTGATTGGTTTATTAGCCAATACTGTGTACACATGCTGTGTGTCTGCTGTATTCCCTTATATGGAGACTGAATCAACATGCATTAATCTAACAGGTCGACCCCCTTTATTATCAACTAAATTAAAAATACATTCTTATTTACAGGATTTCAAGAAACTTGCTCCAGCACTTCTACAATAATAGGTAGTTTAAAAATTACATACTATGCATTTTAATGTATATACAGTTATTGCTACTGTAGCATCATCATCATCAAATGAAGTTATCTCATGGATTGGTGGATTTATTGGTATCATTATCAGTGCAGTGTTTGTTATTATCTTATTATTGATTATCAAAATTGTCATTACAAGAAAAAGTAAAGACAAGCAATCAAAACCCAACAAAAGGTATACAATCAAATACTTTATCTTATTTTAGTATATTGCTTAATAAGGTTGTCATTGCAATGTGATAATGCAAATGTTATAAGCACCATTTCAAGTGGTCAGAATGTTGCATATGGAGTTTATTCACAAAATCAGAGTCCTCTGGAGTCCTTTGTCAATAGGAGTGATCCTACAACTCTAGAATATGCAAGTCCCTTTGATGTGCTTCAGCAAAATAGAGTGGCTGTTAATGATGATCAGGTTACATTTAGTCACTGGCTGAAATTGAGATTAACATACGTATAACAAATTACAAGAAATTTACTGTGTGTTTAAAATTAATTGATTGATTAGATTGTTAGAGCTCATTTGCGTGGGTGACTCTAAAACGAGTGGGTGTATAATTTTATGGGCGTCGTTAGGGGCTTAGGGCCAGCCACTCCTCTCTTTTTTGCAGCAAAAGAGGGTTGCTTTGTGTCACAAGGCCATGTCTACAGACCGAGCTTTAGAGGATTCATCTTTGCTGGAACTATCAGCAAAAAGTACTGAGCAGAAATCATATGGCACTCTGGTGGAGACCCGCTTAAATAGCTCTCAAAAAGTACTGTTATAAAGCAGTTTAGCCTGTGAATATTTGCTACATTTTAGGACAATGTAACCGACCAGGATCAATTGGTACAAGCCTAGGAGCACGACTGTGCTGTTGTCGAGGTATTTGTAAATACCTGAAGTATGATTAGTTTAATTTGTGATAGTGAATGTATTAGTACGTTCATACATACATATTTGTAGTCTATGAGTGCCTTGTATTCCTCCTTCTTGTTCCTTGAGGTTGATACCTGGGGATGCATACAGGTATGATAACGACTGGCTAATATGACCATACTAATACAATAGGAAGAGAGAGAGAGAGAGAGGGGGGAAGAGAAAAAGAAGAGAGAAGATAACGAATATTTCTCACAATAGACATGTTTACAATAAAAGCAATACAGAGGTTACATTGAGATGTTGTTTTTCCATAATTAAAAAACAACTAAAATACGTTCAGACGTCCAGCATGTACGTACAATGTAAATGATATAATCTGCTACATGTACATAAATGGCTGACAGTTGAAACACAAACAATACTCGCAGTCTTTTTGATTATGATAACTACTAAGCAAACAAGAGGCTTCCTTTGTTGATGTGTTTACTTCCCGACTGCCTTTGATAATCACAAGAATAGCAATAGTCAGACAATAACAATAACATCACAAAAAGGAAAACATGTACATGTACATGTACCACTAGTGACAATAAGCAGTTTAGGCACATGTAACTAAAATCAAAATCAAAATTAAAAATACATTTTCTTACGGTGTGTTTGAGTAAGCAGTCCTAGCTAGTTCGTGTGTTATCTGTGTGATCTGTTTGTGAGTTCTGGTCCCATAAAATATCCTCATAGGCCTATTGTTCATAATAACAACAACAACACAATACAACATGTAATGGACACCCATTCAATTTCAGTACTTTAATAAAGACTGTTTCTGATATACATGTACACACAAAAGCTCCAAGTACATGTACCTGCTAATATGTGAACATAAACATATTCATAAACAACAAGTATTTTTTATACATAAGTGATGATGGATGATACATTTATGACCTTTAAACATAATGGTTCATGTACATGTATATAAAATGCCTCATATTAAAGTATATAACAAGTATACTTGTGTGTGACTGGTTGTTGAGGGATATCCATTAACATAAGACCATCAATATCCTTATTAGGATTACAACCACACAACTGACAAGAGGAAAGGGGGAGGGGAAGAGGAGGAGCTGATGGTTGAGGATCTGGTACAATGGAAACAGGTTGCATCTATAAACATAAAATATATCATGTGAAATTGTAAGTTTGTTATGTGTGTACATATACATGTACATGTGAATGTGAATGTTTTGTTGTTTTACAAATTCACACTATTTTTACATGTACATGTTTATAATAGTAAAGAATAAAGGAAAGCTGACAACCACATAATGTACACACTACATGATGAGCTCTTAAATCAGTAAACAAGAATAAAGAAAGAGTGGCAGGTATTAAGGGTAAATGTACCTCTTTCTCTTTATTATCTTGCTCTTCTTTTACAGAGACCATCCTCCATGTCGGGTGGCCATGTTCATTAGGAGTGAGTTGTGAGTCACAAGTGGACTCGTCTATATCATCATAAACCACACCCTTTGCCACAACCTTGAACCTCTTGGTCTACATAATACAAATGAACAAAAATATAACACCTACATGCACTGAATTCATAATAGTGAATTCTATGTATTGATTGTGAATGTATAAATGTGCTATTATGTTGGTACTTTTGCTTTCTTGTTTGTGATCAGAGGACGGAATCGTTTCTTGATTGGTTTAAAGTCATTGTCATCGTTGTCACTGTCATCTTGCAGATTATCAACAGTAGTGTCTTTACCTTCAATAACAATGAAAATAATAATAATAATAACAATAATAATAAACAGTTACTCATACCATTATTACTAGTAGCAGTAGTATTATCTTGGTAATTAGTAGCTGTATTGCACTGAACACTGAGTAGATGAAGTATCACCAACAGGACCAGTAGCAGTAGAACCAGTAGCAATAGAATCAGTTACATTAGCTTTTGTAGTAGTAATTGGATCAATTACATTAGCCTCAGTCACATCAGGACCAGTAGCAATAGAGCCAGTATTAGTAAGAAGATTAACAGGTGGTATTGTAGTATTAGGTATAATAGTATTAGGAGGAACATCAGTCACTAGTGAAGAGTTAATAGTCTCATTCATTGGTTGACATGTATTAGTGGTAGACTGAACTTGAATCTTCTTAATATCAGTATGGCATGTACATTGACAGGGTGTCCCTCCTTCATTTTCATCCCCAGTATTAGGCAATACAGAACTGTTACATGAGGCAGTTGTATTGTTAGTATTGGGTTCAGTGGATGAGGATTGCTTGGGTTCATTGGATGAGGTGAGTTTGGATTCATAGTTGTGTTTCTGCCATGCTATTGTGGAGCAGAGTAATGCAAGACTCTTCCCACTACCTGTTGGACTCTCCAATAAAGCATTGCCGCTTTTATTAAGAGCTTGAATAATCTGAGACAGAAGAGAAAAGAGAGAGAAGAAATTTAAGGAGAAAAGAGAATAAGTGAAAGGAAAAATGAACATAACATTACAAACAAAACATTTTAAAGGGTTAAAAATTACAATTTTTTCACTTTCCTACCCGTAATAGCTTTACGCTGTATTTAAAAGTTAATGTTAATTTACTTTAGACATCATCTGGAGTTGAGTGGGATAGGGTTTGCATGGAAAGCGTACAGGAACGCCAGATATTGGATACAAATCATTCCTAACCTCCTTAGGAGCCTCCATTTTATTATACACGTGACCGCCCAAAATGGGCGTGGTGATTCTATTTTGCATGCATTTGCAGCATGTTATGTTTGCACAAACAGACTTGGCTATAACAGACACAGTAAATTTTTATGATGTTCAACTACCTGGTCTTTGTTAGCGTATTTTGTGTAGCAGTTAGATTTGCTGAAGGAACATGTACTAGGGGAGCCATCAGATATGATCCAGAATACAACAGTACAGTTGTACAGATTTGTTTTAATAATAGATGGGGATATATCTGTGCAAGCAGTAGTGAAAGTCAAAGGAAAAGAATAGCTAATGTAATCTGTCAACAGATGGGATATTCTAGACACTTAGATACTGGTATGTACTGATGTTAAGTTGATTGATTTCATGTCATGATATGCCACATGATAGGGATCAATCAGATAAAAATAGAACCTGCTCCTAAACCTGGTTTTATAGGATGGTTTTATTGCTCAGATAAACCAATTTCACAGCAGAGCATTTTAGATTGTTCATATCTAGTTTATGAGCCAGCTTATTCCGATTCAATTTGTTCTGATAACTACAACCACTATATTGCTGCTAGTAATTGTACCAATACCTCAGTCTGTCAAAATGGACAGATACAATTACTTGATACTAATGCTATATTTCTGTGTGTAAATGGAGAGTGGCATGCATTATGTGGTACATCATGGTCCGATACTCAAGCACAAGTTGTATGTAGACAATTAGGAAAGAATGTACAAGGTATAGACATACTAATGCATTATGATGATGTGTTTACAAATGTTATTGTAGGAGCTATGGCAGTTAATGTTTCAGTACCTGCCAATATTTCAGTTTTACAAGCTAAGTTTGAATGTTATGGATATGAAAAGTTTCTTTACAACTGTTCAGATCATCGCTCATTCTCCTGTGATAATCTAATTTCTCAAACTCAAATCACTGTTGCTGGTGTTACATGTCAAAGTAAAGTTTGATTGTATTATTATTAATTTTGGTAATATTTTATTTATAGGCTTGCCTGGCCCTCCTTCAAGTCTTACTGTCAATACCCAACAGTCAGATATTATATTACATTGGGAATACACTGATGATGCTAATAATGTGTCTAATTTCAGTGTTTACTGTAAGCATAATAGGACTGTTGATCCTCAACTGCACTTAAATTTCAAAACTGAGCTAAACCTACTGACAAAGAACAACAGTGCCACACTGATTGGTTTATTAGCCAATACTGTGTACACATGCTGTGTGTCTGCTGCATTCCCTTATATGGAGACTGAATCAACATGCATTAATGTAACAAAAGGTGAGCTTTTAATTATTTTAACTTTAAAATTATTCTATGTTTAGCTAGTGCCACACCATCATCATCAAATGGAGCTATCCCATGGATTGGTGGAATATTTATTGGTATCATTATCAGTGCAGTGTTTGTTATTATCTTATTATTGATTATCAAAATTGTCATTACAAGAAGAAGTAAAGACAAACAATTTAAACCCAACAAAAGGTATACAATCAAATACTTTACTTATAACAGTATATGGTATTACTTATAAAGGTCATCATTACAAAGTGATAATGGTCAAAATGTAATTGGAGTTTATTCTGAACTGTCGCAGAATCATTTCGAGCCTTTTTCTAATAGGAGGGATCCTGCAATTCCTGCTACTAATGATTATGAGAGCCCTGTTGATGTGAATATAATGACTGTTAATGGTGATCCAGTTTATTCACTGGCTGAAACTGAGGAAGAAACTGGTAACTATGACAAGTTACAAAGGAATTAACTGTGGCATTAATTTTTAATGTTAAAGTGTATTTCAGTTTTATTACCATTATTGTACATTTTATATGCATCATGTGGCTCACTGACTGCTCAATGGGTATGGTTATCATAGCTTGTGTACGTGTGTATATAAGCATACAGCAACATGCACATGCAATATGAGCTCAGTAACTTCCTAGCAAGCTGTAAACTATGGTACATTTCAATATGTTGTTCAAGAGGTACCAGTTGGCCCACATCCTTATCTGTGTCAGCATAGCTGTTGTGGCAGTTGAATTTGCTGAAGGAACATGTACTAGAGGAGCCATCAGATATGATCCAGAATACAACAATACTAGTCTCAACAATACAGTTGTACAGATATGCTTCAATAATAGATGGGGATATATCTGTGCAAACAGTGATGGAGGAGCCAGGCAAAGAATAGCTAATGTAATCTGCCAACAGATGGGATATTCTAGACACTCTGATACTGGTATATGTTTAAGTTGATTATTTTGTTATGATGTGCCATCATGTAGGTATCACTGAGATATGGATAGATCCTGCTCCTACACCTAGTTTTATTGAATGGTTTTATTGCTCAGTTAAACCAATTTCCCAGCAAAACATTTTAGATTGTTCGCGTAGTGTTAATAGCTATCAGCCCAACCTGAAATGCCCTAACTACTATATTGCTGCTAGTAATTGTATCAATACCTCAGTCTGTCAAAATGGACAGATACAATTGCTTGATACTAATGCTGTATTGCTGTGTGTAAATGGAGAGTGGCATGCATTATGTAATACAACATGGTCCTCTACTCAAGCACAAGTTGTATGTAGACAATTAGGAAAGAATGCACAAGGTATGCCCACTTCATTACTAATGTGTTTAATGATGTAATTCTATAGGAGCTATCCCAGATAATGTTTCAGTACCTGCCAATATTTCAGTATTACAAGCTGGCTTTGAATGTAATGGAAATGAAAAGTTTCTTTACAACTGTTTAGATTATCGCTTATACTCCTGTAGTAGTGGCACTGTTGCTGGTGTTATATGTGAAAGTAAAGTTATAGATTGTGTTATTCATTAGTTACCTTATTTATAGACTTGCCTGGTCCTCCTTCTAATCTTACTGTCGATAGTAAACAATCAGATATTATATTACATTGGGAATACACTGATAGAAACAGTGATATGTCCAATTTCAGTGTTTACTGTAAAAACATGATTGTTTATTCTCAACCACATATAAAGTTCAAAAGTGAACTAAACACACTGACAAAGAACAACAATGCAACACTGATTGGTTTATTAGCCAATACTGTGTACACATGCTGTGTGTCTGCTGTATTCCCTTATATGAAGACTGAATCAAGGTGCATTAATGTAACAAAAGGTCAGCTTTGTAATTTTAATTTAAAATAATTATTTTCCTATTTGCAGGATTTCAAGAAGCTGGCTCTAGCACTTCTTCTACAATATCATTTACTCCTACTGGTAACTTAAAGAGTATAAAATTAATGGTCTCATTATTGTGTGTTTTATTGCAGCTACTGCAACTGTAGCATCATCATCATCAAATGGAGCTATCTCATGGATTGGAGGAATATTTATTGGTATCATCATCAGTGCAGTGTTTGTTATTATCTTATTGTTGATTATCAAAATTGTTATTACAAGAAGAAGTGAAGACAAGCAATTTAAACCCAACAAAAGGTACAATCAAATACTTTATCTTATAACAGTATATGGTATTACTTATAAAGGTCATCATTACAAAGTGATAATCCAAATGTCACATCCACTGTTTATCATCAGTCAAGAGGTCAGACTCAGAATATTGGGATTTATTCTGATCTGTCACAGAATCAATTTGAGCCATTTTCCAATGGGAGGGATCCTGCAATTCCTGATGCTAATGATTATGAGAGTCCTGTTGATGTGAATATAATGACTGTTAATAATGATCCAGTTTATTCACTGGCTGAAACTGAGGAAGAAACTGGTAACTATGAAAAGTTACAAAGGAACTAACTTCGTCATGAAAATATCAATAATCATTTTATATTTCATCAACTATTTTATAATTTTTTTGCTATTATAATGCATAGCTAGTAGAAAGTATAAATTAAGTTTGTGCCGCACCCATGAAAGTTCTTGGTCTGGTTACAAAATGAACTGATAGTGAATACACACATAGATATATAAGTGTCATAATGTAAACATTATGCTACAATATGTACCTTTATGTTATGCAATATAATGTACTGGCGGTGCCTTTGGTACACCCACATAGTATGCTATAGCAACAAAACAAGGTAGTCACCTTTGTATAGTAATCTATCACAGTAAAGCTCAATGAAAAACATAAGTTCAAGACCCAGGCACTTCCTTCTCTTTTTTATGCTGTTACTCTTCAGTGTAGCAGTAAAGGTTGCTCATGGAGTCTGTATTAGAGGAGCCATCAGATATGATCCAGAATACAACAATACAGTTGTACAGATATGTTTTAATAATAGATGGGGATATATTTGTGCAAGCAATATTGAAAACCAAAGGAAAAGAATATCTAATGTCATTTGCCAACAGATGGGATATTCTAGACACTCAGATACTGGTTTGTATTATAGTTCTATCTGATCAGTTATATAATTATTGTTATGTGATGTTATGTAGGGATCACTTGGATAAGAATAAATCCTGCTCCTACACCTGGTTTTATAAGATGGATTTATTGCTCAGATAAACCAATTTCACAACAAAACATTTTAGATTGTTCACATCAATTTTATGATTTAGATCTAAATACAGCATGCCCCATGTTGAGTGGCAACTACTATACTGCTGCTAGTAATTGTGTCGATACCTTGGCCTGTCAAAATGGAGAGATACAATTACTTGATACTAATGCTGTATTGCTGTGTGTAAATGGAGAGTGGCATGCATTTTGTGGTATAACATGGTCCTCTACTCAAGCACAAGTTGTATGTAGACAATTAGGAAAGAATACAAAAGGTAAGATACTCATTAATATTGATAATGTGTTCAAATGTTACTGTAGGAGCTATGGCAGTGAATGTTTCAGTAGCTACTGGTACTATGTCAGTATTAAGAGCTAACTTTGGCTGTTTTGGAAATGAAAAATTCATATATAATTGTTCAGATCGTGACTCAATTTTTTGTGATAATATATCTTCTCAAACTACAGTTGTTGCTGGTGCTATATGTGAAGGTAAAGTTTGACTGTATTATCATTTGGTAGTAGCTTTTCTAATTTTATAGATTTGCCTGGTCCTCCTTCAAATCTTACTATCAGTAGCCAACAGTCAGATATTATATTACATTGGGAATACACTGATGATGCTAATAATGTGTCTAATTTCAGTGTTTACTGTAAGCATAACAAGACTGTTGATTCTCAGCTGCACTTGAGTATAAAAAGTGAACTAAACCTACTGACAAAGAACAACAGTGCAGCACTGATTGGATTATTAGCCAATACTGTGTACACATGCTGTGTGTCTGCTGTATTCCCTTATATGGAGACTGAATTAACATGCATTAATGTAACAGGTCAGCCTTGAGCCTTTATTATTAACACAAACTTGAAATATAATTCTTATTTACAGGATTTCAAGAAACTTGCCCTAGCACTTCTACAATAATAGGTAAAACCCACTAACTTATCTAGTTTCTAATTGTCTAATAGTGTAAAGTGTTATAATAATAAATAATAATAATAATAATAATTTTAAAATTACATATTATGCATTTAATGTATATTGTTACTGTAGCATCATCATCATTAAATGAAGTTATTCCATGGATTGGTGGATTTATTGGTATCACTATCAGTGCAGTGTTTGTTGTTATCTTATTATTGATTATCAAAATTGTCATTACAAGAAAAAGTAAAGACAAGCAATCAAAATCTAACAAAAGGTACAATCAAATATTTTATTTTAATATTTTAGTATATTGCTTATTAATGCTTAATAAGGTCGTCATTGCAATGTGATAATGCAAATGTTATAAGCACCATTTCAAGTGGTCAGAATGTTGCATATGGAGTTTATTCACAGAATCAGAGTCCTCTTGAAGTTGAGTCATTTGTCGATAGGAGTGATCCTACAACTCTAGAATATGCAAGTCCCTTTGATGTGCTTCAGCAAAATAGAGTGGCTGTTAATGATGATGAAGGTTACATTTAGTCACTGGCTAAAACTGAGATTAACAAACGTATAATAAATTACAAGAAATTTACTGTGTGAACATGTTTCATCTCCAATAATCACTTTTTTTTCATGCAAACTCTTAATTTACTTATTTATTTTATATATTATTATTCTTTTTTCTGGCTGCAACACATGTTGTTGCTGTCCTTCAGTACCCTCTGTCCTTTTTCTCTCGTCTCTGTTTATATTTGTCTTATACTGTTAGGTTCATAATAATAATAATAATAATAATAATAATAATAATAATAATAATAATAATAATAATAATAATAATAATAATAATAATAATAATAATAATAATAATAAAATTACTTTATTGATTAGATTTTAAAGCTAATTTGCGTGGGTGACCCTAAAACGAGTGGGTGTATAAAAATTATGGGCGTGGTTGGGGCCAGCCACTCCTCTCTTTTTGCAGCAAAAGAGGGTTGCTTTGTGTCACAAGGCCATGTCTACAGAGCGAGCTTTAGAGGATTCATCTTTGCTAGAACTATCAGTAAAGAGTACAGAGCAGAAATCATATGGCACTCTAGTGGAGACCCGCTTAAATAGCTCCCAAAAAGTACTGTTATAAAGCAGTTTAGCCTGTTATGAGTGTCTGCTAATTCCAGGGCAGTGTAACAGACCAGGATCAACTGGTACAAGCCGAGGAGCACGACTATGCTGTTGTCGAGGTATTTGTAAATACCCTGATGTGTGATTAGTTTAATTTGTGACAGTTTCCTACTGATATGAACGATTTCACTGGAAAGCAACTTGAAAGGTGCCAGAGATTAGTACTCAGACCGTATAACACTTTCCTCTGTGTGGTAAGCTGTAAATTTAGAAACTAATTATAGTTGTGATAGTTTGCCATGCAAAAAGATATCTTGCCAAAACTTAAGAATCTAACTGTCAATTTTTGTAGATTGGATGGCGAAGAGTATTAGCATACGAAGGTGTTTGGTATATCATATTTTCATTCTGGCCCCTCATCGTGTTACTATTGCTCGTGACATCTTGCACAGTGCAAATATTGCTTTGCTATACAAGAGATTCAGTAAGTGTATCATAACTTTGTAATTCAGCATTTCATTCCATTTTTATTAGATTCCATTGATACAAGATGATGACATGTACATTAAGTGTTCAGACCACATTGCTTCTTCATTCATTATGCTGGATATTCTACTAGTCATGACTTATCTCTATGGACTTTTTATATTTTGCTTCAGGCAACACAAAGACCTATCAGGCTTGACAGAAAAGGTACAAAGAAAAATAATTTGCATTGTTATAATTATTGTCCAGGTTTTCTGCACAATTGAGGAGAAAAAGTCAAAAGACCATATAACACTTTCCTATTCACTGTTTACCAATCAAGAGGTCAGACTCAGAATATTGGGATTTATTCTGAACTGTTGCAGAATCAATTTGAGCCATTTTCCAATGGGAAGGACCCTACAATTCCTGCTGCTAATGATTATGAGAGTCCTGTTGATGTGAATATAATGACTGTTAATGATGATCCAGTTTATTCACTGGCTGAAACTGAGGAAGAAACTGGTAACTATGACAAGTTACAAAGGAATTAACTTCATCATGAAAATATAATCATTTTATACTCCATTAACTATTTAATAATTTTGTTACCATTATAATGCATAGTTAATACAAAGTATAAATTAAGTTTGTGTCACACAGATTGGTCTTGTTACATAAACAGATAGTGAATACACACATAGATATATTGTCATAATGTAAACATTATACTACAACAGGTACCTTTATGCAATATAAAGTACTGGCGGTGCCTTTGGTACAACCACTAGTATACTATAACAACAAAACAAGGTATCCATATAGCCACCTTATGTAGAAGTTAGTTGTATAATAATCTATCACAGTAAAGTTCAATGAAGAACATAAGTTCAAGATCCAGGCACTTCCTTCTCTTTTTCATCCTGTTACTCTTCAATGTAGCAGTAAAGGTTGCTCATGGAGTTTGTACTAGAGGAGCCATCAGATATGATCCAGAATACAACAATACAGTTGTACAAATTTGTATTGCTAATAGATGGGGATATATCTGTGCAGACTCTTATATAATATTAAGGCAAAGAATAGCTAATGTAATCTGCCAACAGATGGGATATTCTAGACACTCTGATACTGGTATATGTTTAAGTTGATTATTTTGTTATGACATGTCATCATGTAGGTATCACTCAGATAAGAATAATCTCTGCTCTTACACCTGGTTTTATAAGATGGCTTCATTGCTCAGATAAACCAATTCCACAGCAGAGCATTTTAGATTGTTCGCATCAAGTTTATAGCTATCACTTTGGGCCCAATCTGACATGTCCTAACTACTATACTGCTGCTAGCAATTGTATTAATACCTCAGTCTGTCAAAATGGACAGATACAATTACTTGATACTAATGCTGTATTGCTGTGTGTAAATGGAGAGTGGCATGCATTATGTAGTACAACATGGTCCTCTACTCAAGCACAAGTTGTATGTAGACAACTAGGAAAGAATGCAAAAGGTATATACTCATGCATTATGATGAGTTGTGTGCAAACATTATTGTAGGAGCTATGCCAGTTAATGTCTCAGTACCTGCCAATATTTCAGTATTACAAGCTGACTTTGAATGTCATGGAAATGAAAAGTTTCTTTACAACTGTTCAGATTATCACTTAAACTCATGTAGTAGTGGCACTGCTGCTGGTATTATATGTGAAAGTAAAATTATAGATGGTGTTATTAATAATTTTGGTAATATTTTATTTATAGATTTGCCTGGTCCTCCTTCAAATCTTACTGTCAATACCCAACAGTCAGATATTATATTACATTGGGAATACACTGATGATGCTAATAATGTGTCCAATTTCAGTGTTTACTGTAAATATAACAAGACTGCTGATCCTCAGCTGCACTTGAATATCAAAAGTGAACTAAACCTACTGACAAAGAACAACAGTGCAGCACTGATTGGTTTATTAGCCAATATTGTGTACACATGCTGTGTGTCTGCTGTATTCCCTTATATGGAGACTGAATCAACATGCATTAATGTAACAGGTCGGCCCCTTTATTATCAACTAAATTAAAAATACATTCTTATTTACAGGATTTCAAGAAACTTGCTCCAGCACTTCTACAATAATAGGTAAGCCTAGTTTAAAAATTACATATTACGCATTTTAATGTATATATCTAGTTACTGCTACTGTAGCATCATCATCATCAAATGAAGTTATCCCGTGGATTGGTGGATTTATTGGTATCATTATCAGTGCAGTGTTTGTTATTATCTTATTATTGATTATCAAAATTGTCATTACAAGAAGAAGTAAAGACAAGCAATCAAAACCCAACCAAAGGTATACAATCAAAAACATTATCTTATTTTAGTATATTGCTTAATAAGGTTGTCATTGCAATGTGATAATGGAAATGTTATAAGCACTATTTCAAGTGGTCAGAATGTTGCATATGGAGTTTATTCACAGAATCAGAGTCCTCTTGAGTCCTTTGTTGACAGAAGTGATCCTACAACTCTAGAATATGCACGCCCATTTGATATGGTTCAGCAAAATAGAGTGGCAGTTAATGATAATCAAGATTATATTTAGTCACTGGCTGAACTGAGATTAACAGACGTACAATAAATTACACGAAATTTACTGTGTATGCTTAAAAATTTACTGTGTATGCTTAAAAATTTACTGATAGATTTTTAGGCTATTGCGTGGGCAACCCTAAAACGAGTGGGTGTATGAAATACTAACGTTATTATGGGCGTGGTTAGAACCAGCCACTCCTCTCTTTTTTGCAGCAAAAGAGGGTTGCTTTGTGTCACAAGGCCATGTCTACAGAGCGAGCTTTAGAGGATTCATCTTTGCTGGAACCATCAGCAAAGAGTACAGAGCAGAGATCATATGGCACTCTAGTGGAGACCCGCTTAAATAGCTCTCAAAAAGTACGGTTATAAAGCAGTTTGGCCTGTGAATATTTGCTACATTTTAGGACAATGTAACCGACCAGGATCAACTGGTACAAGCCGAGGAGCAAGACTATGCTGTTGTCGAGGTATTTGTAAATACCCTGATGTGTGATTAGTTTAATTTGTGACAGTTTCCTACTGATATGAACGATTTCACTGGAAAGCAACTTGAAAGGTGCCAGAGATTAGTACTCAGACCATATAACACTTTCCTCTGTGTGGTAAGCTGTAAATTTAGAAACTAATTATAGTTGTGATAGTTTGCCATGCAAAAAGATATCTTGCCAAAACTTAAGAATCTAACTGTCAATTTTTGTAGATTGGATGGCGAAGAGTATTAGCATACGAAGGTGTTTGGTATATCATATTTTCATTTTGGCCCCTCGTTGTGTTACTATTGCTCGTGACATCTTGCATAGTACAAATATTGCTTTGCTATACAAGAGATTCAGTAAGTATATTATAACTTTATAATTTAGTGTTTCATTCTATTTTTATTAGATTCCATTAATACAAGATGATGACATGTACATTAAGTGTTCAGATCACATTGCTTCTTCATTCATTATGCTGGATATTCTACTAGTCATGACTTATCTTTATGGACTTTTTATATTTCGCTTCAGGCAACATGAAGACCTATCAGGCTTGACAGAAAAGGTACAAAGAAAAATAATTTGCATTGTCATAACTATTGTCCAGGTTTTCTGCGCAATTGAGGAGAAAAAGTCAAAAAAACTCTCAGCCTCAATGTTGTAAGCAATTTCGCTTGTAGCATTCTTATAATAATGTTTTACATAGATTTTTCCTTGTCCTTGGAATACTTTGGATCGGTTGCTCAATTGGCGTGAGTATCATGCGAATATTTGTTCATGGCTTAAACAAAAAAGTAGAACTTGAGTTTTTAAAGAATTACGGCAAGTAATACACCCTGTATTAAATGGACTGAGTTTATTCTTGTCTCTTTCTTCAAAGTGACTCTACTGAAATCAAAATTGCAATGCTCACCACTGCACAAATTGGATTCATTGTCATTGATGTAGCATATGCATCTGTAGTAGTAAACTATGCTATGCAGTGTCAATTGATAGTTTACTCAATCAATAATATTGGGGCACGCATAAGGACTAAAGCAACAACAATAGATACAATAATTAAAGTGAGAGCATTAAAAATGTACTAGATAATAATAATCAATTGTATTGTAGGAAGTGTGCGATGTGAAGGCTTGTTTGTCTAAAATTAATGGTCACCTCTCGCGGGCTACTGGAGCTATCATGTTTATCTTCTTGTATTCTTCAGTCTCATGTAATCTTATCTATAGTTTTTATAACTGTGTGTAATGTAGTCTCTCTTCCTCTTCAACTTTCCCTTTCTTTCATTCTTAGCTTTGTACTCTTTGCAGCAGCTAAAACCTGATGACAATGATTTAGTATTAGCAGCAATCACTGGTTTCCTGTCTTCAATACAGTGGACCGTCTGGCTAGTAATACCATTGATTCAGGTATTTTATCGTCATGATTATCAAAAAAAATTTCTACATTGTTTTGATCGATAGCAGACATGATAATGATAATTATGATTTTTAGGCAGCTCGTGTGACTCATGCTGGAACTCAGTTGAAGGAAAAGGCAATGGAGATACGTTCAAGGCCTTTCCTTTACATGAATGCACCACAAATTGACTTAGATTCGCTAATCATCTATTGCTCGAATGTTCACTTAAAAGTAAGCATGAATAAAATCTATGTAGTATTTTGTCAGTGGATTGTCAAGTTGCTCACAAATCAGGCCAAAGATTCTGTACTATTGTACAGGGTATTTTCAGAAAAATTAAAAGGAGAGAATTTTTCATTTTTATAATTTTTCTGATGCATAATATACTTTTTTTTATATTGTGTAGCAAGTTTGAGCTTATTCCAATTAAAATTGGATTTTTTATAAATTTGTAAAGTTGCTAAAAATTCCATATACATACATGCACACTAAAATTGTGGTGCTTTTCAGCACATGAAGCATGCTTTTTAGCTCACTTCTGTGGGAAATCCTGATTATGACAGTCATGTTTGTGTTTATATTGAGTTCTTGTATATTTTTAGGCTAAACTGTTAAGCATTCCAATATCACCTTCAATGGTGGTTGGTGGATCTTTCTTTCTTGGATTCACAATATACTTGGTACTGAAATTTGACAACTATTCGTGGGCAAGCTGGCTCTAAATTTCGTTTACAACATTTGAATATTTAAAAAATATAATATTTTTTTATGTTTTAAAATATCTACTATAAATCAAAAAGCAGCTAGATCTATGTGTGGGTGCATACGTGCACTAAGTCATTTGACATCTGGAAGAAAATGTGTGAGCATGTCATCAACTTTTTTAACTTTCTTCCTAAATTTCTTGATACAGAGCAACTTTTTGAGTTCATCCAGAATCAGTACAAGTACCTCAATGATTGATATGATACTCATTCCAAGAAAGAGCCCAATCAAACCACCAATGTCTCCAAATAAGCCAGTCAGTGTCTTACTGTACTTGGTGACGTACTCATGAGTTTCTAAGCTTTCCAGGTAAACTTGGACAGAAAGAAAATTATTCTTGACAGCATCTTGTGATAAATTCAACGATTTAGCAATACTCTTCAAAGCGTGACCATTAGGAAAACTGGAGTAGCTGCTTTTGTAATCGTACATACTGAACTGGCAGGGTAGAGGACAGGTAGCAGAGCTGACCCTGTAATCGAAGTATTCTTGGAGCAAGCAGCAGAGACTGTGCAAAGTGCAGTTAGGTGTGTTGATGTAAGGACCTGTGCTTGGCCTGTAAGGATTAGGAACACAACCACAGACACTCTCATCTGCTAAGTGCTGGTAAAGGGCATTCTCTTTACATGCAAATTGAGAGTAAACCGTGCTCGGGAAGAAACCTAGCTCTCTTTCGTCGTTAGTGCAATCTCTTTCTTTTGTTTTGTCAATGTAGACTTTCCTTTCAACAGAAATGGCAACGTTTTGACCAGGAGCCACGCTAATACCATAAAGGTTGGGCCGTGATATATCATTTCTATCATGAACGATAACTTTGACGCCAGTTAACCCGTGAAACGTTGGATGCGAGTCCTGTTCAATGTTCAATATTAAATTCAGCCCGTGCCTAACACCAATGTCTTTGGCCATTGGTACTGGCATTTTGCTTCTAATGCCATTGAAAGTGTAGCAGATACCTGCTGGTGTTAGTACAGGATAAAACATGTCCCTGCATGACACAATTTCACTATCTGCATCATGACTAAATGAGCACTGATAGATGAACCTCTTGTCATCAGGTAAAAGTAGGTCCCATACTTCACAATCAAACGCGTCACTAGTGTCGCTAGAATTGATTACTTCGCTGCATTCATCAAATAAACTCGTCTGATTAACCAAGTCCTGAGAGTTAAAGAGACTATGGATAACTGAAGAGAAGTCTGGCTCCTTGTCTTCACCGGTTGGGGTGTATACATTAAGATTGCATATCGTTACTGCTGGGAATGGCAGCCCATTCTTCACTGAAGGCGATACCAAAATGGTTGATGCAGTTGGCTTATTGACATATTCTTTGATATTAAAGCCAATAACGACACAAACAGCAATGAAAGAAGAAATGAGCAGCAATCCCCACATTATCTGCCTTATTTTAGATCTGCCCCTGAAGACGTGAATGACGCCATTTATCGTGGTAGTTTCAACAAAGTCACTGAAATATTTATCGCTCCAAGAGAACCTTCCGGCATTCTTCATGACTAAAAATTAGACAGAGTCGAATACAAGCCCAATCTATATGTGCATGCTATGTGCTCACTTTTATATAGACTTCTGCTAATTGCCGTAACAATTATTTTGGTTTCCTGAAAATCACACGAGACAACAACTAGCTGAAACTAAAATTTGTTCAATCAATATGTGCAAAACAACAAGGCAGAGAACACATTGTGTGAATAAAACAATAAATTTTAGAATTTTAACTGCTGAAAATAAAATACAAAAGCTTTAACTAGAAACAGTTATGCCAGCATTGATGACAAGATTATAAAATAAACCTCTGAGTTCCAGTAATTTCTCTGGAGTATCAAACTCTGCTATACGTCCTTCATCTAATACCATTACTCTATACATAAGATTTAAAACAATCCAATAAAATACCTGCTTACTTATCATAATCCATGATGGTATTAATCCTGTGTGCAATCGTTAAAATTGTGCAATCAGAAAACTCTTTACGGACAGTTCTTTGAATGAGATCGTCAGTTTCCAAATCAACAGCAGCTGTGGCCTCATCCAGAACTAGTATCTTTGTCTTACGGAGCAAGGCTCGAGCAAGACACACTAACTGACACTGACCAACACTAAAGAGATGTAAGAATTGATTAATGCAAGTGACATAATCATACCTTAGATTTTCTCCTCCCTCTGCAATAGAATACTTCAATCCTTCGCTTAGTTTTTCCACAAAATCACTTAAATAAGCATTTCTTAAAGCTCTCCATATTTCATCATCAGTGCAGGTATCAAAGGGATCAAGATTAAAACGAAGTGTCCCTAAAAACAGCAATGGATCCTAGAAAATATATAATGGTAAACTATAATGTCAATATCTCTAACTTGTGGAATGATTGTTAGTCGTGATCTAAGGTCACGTAGTCCATATTTACTGATGTTCATGCCATCAATTAAAATGGATCCTTTATCAGCTTCAATGATACGAAACAATGACATAGTTAACGACGACTTCCCTGCTCCAGTCCGTCCTACAACACCAACCTATAGTAATAATAATGATCATGAATGACACTATTATACATAAGTGCTGACTTTTTGACCACCAGGTATGTAACAAGACACATTCTTTAGTACAAGATCAAGTCCAGGACGATAACGTGTAGCATATTCATCAAACTGAATGCTTCCATCTACTGGCCAATTAGGATCAGGCCTATTATCAGGAATAATTTCAGGAGCCTTTAAAAATAATGAATAATTTTGAGGGTTAATTATTATTAACCAATATGCACCTCATTTGGTGACTCTGTGTATTCTTTGATTCTTTCAACTGATATCAAACTGCTTTCCAAGTCACTGGTCATTCTGACAACCATAGATAATAGCAATGTCATCTAATAATATTAATATGATGAATCAACAAAAGCAACTCATTAATTTCACTAGCCATGAATGCTTGGCTTATTGACATTCCAGCTAATCCAGGGTCAATGAAACCAAAAACTTGAGGGTAATTTCGCTGAAGTGCAGCAAGCACTGCAGCTAGGAATATGACCAAAGCACCAACAAAATCAAGCTGCACTGATAACCACCTGATTATAAATAATTAAAAATTTAATGTAAATATTCATTTCACCTGACTACAGCATTGTAACTGTAATATAGGGCCACTTGATTGTAGTCTACATGAGCTTGGGACAGCAATTGAAACCTGTAATGTGCTAGTAATAGTAATAGCGTGTCATTGTACTCACTACCTTTCCTGTACATTGTAAGCTCTAATGCTAGTCACCCCATTAATGCTCTCCTGGAAATGAGAGTAAATTGGAGAGCTTGAGTTTGCCTCAAGACGCTTCAGCTGTCTTGAAGTAGCAACATAAAAACGCTAAGAATTAAAAAGTAAAATCACAATAGAAATTATATATTATGATAAACCTGGACAAATAGGTAGAATATGGACATTGGAACTGTAGCAAATAGGAACCAAGGTGAAGCAATTGAAATGACTATAACTACACCAACTGTAGAGAAAACTGTTGTTAGGAAAGCACTGAGGAATGTAGAAATCTTCTCATCAATAACGCTAGTGTCCTAAAATAATTATGCATACAAGGAAATGAAGCGATTGCTGTACTTTTGAGAATCTATTTAGCAGTCTTCCTAGAGGTGTAGTATCAAAAAATGACATTGGTGATCGAAGTATATTTGATAGCATTTTAGCGTGGAGTCTCCTTGAAGCTTTAACAGTTCCAAAAGCTAGTGTCAGTGAAGCAAATAAAAATGAGAAAGATTGAGCCATTCCAAGTGAAGCATAAATGCCAAGATTAGCAGAACTAGCATGTCAAATAGATTGTAAAATTTCTTGAAAATGCTATAGACTTACAGTGTCAAGTTATCATTACCTCCAGCATTACTCCAATGAGCTAACCAGAGTAACTGACCAAGATATCCGCCAGCAGTTAAGCAATACAGGAGTAAAACGAGACACAATGAAATGTAGGAAAAGGATTTGATGTAAGCTGCAATGACAGAAATCTTAACCTAAAACAAAAGATTGGTTCTATTGTGTTAGTTCTTATCTTACAATTCCAAGATGAACTTTCTCATTAACTATCAAAGAATTTTCTTGTTCTTTTTCTTTAAAAAATGAAACAATTAAAATTAATCTACACATACACTCACTAATCTTGTCAGTGAAACAGCCTTTCTCTTCAGGAACAGAGATTTCACCTGGAATGTGCATAAAGTGTAATGCTCATGTAGATCTTATTGCTTACTTTGTTTCTTTTCATCACTCTCATCTGTTGAGCCATAGTTTTGTAAAAACACAGAGAACTCTCCATTGTGTTCAAGTAGTTCTGAATAAGTTCCAACCTCACTAATCCTGCCTTCATTCATGACAATTATCTTATCGCATTGAGATAGGAACCTCACACTATGAGTCACTAATATACGTACCTACATGTACATGCTATCATGAAATACTACTATCAAATCAATGTCGTGTTTACTTTGTTTTTCAATACTCCTTCAGGTCCTATCACATTATCAAATATGTGTTTACCGACGTGTGAATCAACAGCAGATAAAGGATCATCAAGTAAATACACATCAGACTCCTGGTAGACTGCTCTAGCTAGACTAACACGTTGTTTCTGACCACCACTAAGATTAATACCCTATTAATGATACTATGATTACTAAAGCACTAAGCTATTTGGTTACTTTCTCTCCTATTTCAGTCATATCCCCTCCTGGTAATATTTCCATATCTGCTTCCAAAGCACAAGTACTAATGACCTCATTGTAGAGAACATTATTGAACCCTTTACCAAAAGTAATGTTATCTTTGACTGTAGCATTCAATATCCAAGCAATCTGAGGTACATAAGCTACTCTACCCTATACTACATTAAAGCAAATATCGTTATATTTCTTTTTTACCTTAAGAACTACATGTCCGTTTATTTTATTCATTTCTCCTAAGATGGCTGATATCAATGCTGATTTACCAGCTCCAACAGGTCCCACTACAGCCACTAGTTCACCAGGTCTTGCAGATAATTCAATACTGCACAGTGTAGAAAACTAACTAAAGTCACAAACACTTACTCCGACAGCATGAATTTCTCCTCTTCTTTATCCCATGAAAATGATCCTTCTCTTATTAACACAGCTTCCTTTCCTTTTAATGTATAAATACTACACTTTATTATCATTACAAAAATACACTTACCATCAGTAGTAGTATCACTATCATCAGTACCTGTAAGGTCCAATTCTTCTTCTAATAAGAAAGATCTAATGCGCTTCAGTGATACATTAGCCTGTACAGTTAATAATGATACAATGTACAAATGATAAATCGATACTTGAATGATATATGCAACTGTCATTGGTAGTCTAGTGAGTGGATATCTAAGAATATCAAATAGTGATATGGTTACAAAAACCTTCCCTGCCGTCATGATGTAGTTTGGGTTAGCAATTGTGCTGTGAATCCACATGAACGTAGAAAATGTTGTAAGTGTGACCTACAGGTAAGTAACAGTTTGGGAGGTACTATTATTATTATTATTATTATTATTATTATTATTATTATTATTATTATTATTATTATTATTATTATTATTATCATTATTATTATTGTTATAAGCTTACAACAGTGCTAGTGCTGAACCAAGTTAAAGTAGCAAAAGATTGAATAATAGCTATTTTCCGTAGACACTTTAACTCAATGTTTCTGAGCTCTTTAATTTTTTGTTTAAATGGAAATTCCCAAGCATAAAGTTTAATTACCTAAAAGCCAATGGTAATAATTAATTAATAATAAATAAATAGAAGACTTTACTTTAATCCCACTAAGAATTCCATAGATTGATCTCAATCTCTTATCTTTAGCTTTCATCAATTTAGTTTGGAATCGCTGGCCAAGTAGAAACACCAGTAAAGTAAAGGGTAGCAATAATAGCAATACTGCCAGGCCAGCAAGAATAGCAAGACCCATTGTCCAGTATAAGACCACTAGAGCAACAACAATCTGTAAAGGGCCTGACCAAACCATGTGAAAGTAACTCAGTGTCTCTATAAATCTGTGGGCATCAATAGACATGAGATTAACCATCTCTCCTATTGTTCTGGTCTGGTAGGACTTCCTTGTCAAAACTAGAGACTGAGATTCAAAAATTACAATCAATAAAATTTAGGGATGATTTCAAAGAAATAATAGCCCATGGTATTTTAACTAATTTTCAGAAATTGGCTTATTTTTAATGGTCATAACTTGAAAAATTGAAGTCGGAATTGGCTCAAACTTTCTACGTAGCATAAGTACATCAATATGTATCAGAAAATATAATAAAAATTGGGGGGTCATTTCGGTACCATTTTTTGGAAAAAATTATGGGCTATAGTACAGGGTATTTTTCTGAAATTTGGAGTTTTTTAAAAATGGTCATAACTCAAAAAATTGAAGTCGGAATTGACTCAAACTTTCTACGTAGCATAAGTACATCAATATGTATCAGAAAATGTAATAAAAATTGTGGGTCATTTCGGAGCCATTTTTTGGAAAAAACCATGGGCTATAGTACAGGGTATTTTTCCAAAATTTGGAGCTTTTTAAAAATGGCCATAACTTGAAAAATTGAAGTCAGAATTAACTCAAACTTTCTACATAGCATAAGTACATCATTATGTGTCAGAAAATGTAACAAAAATTGGGGGTCATTCTGAAGCCGTTTTTTGGAAAAAACCATGGGCTATAGTACAGGGTATTTTGAAGTTTTTAATAATGGTCATATTTAGTTGGAATTATACCTTTTTATAAATTGCACATATCAGACTTGTCCTTATTCTCATTCCTGTGGTTGAGGTAGAGTTAAAATACTGCTGATAAACGAGTGAGAGTAGCAGTGCAACAAAAAACATTGTCATTGCATAGAAGTATCCATTCCAAGCTTGCTCTTTCTTGTCATGAATATACGCTATCATCAATCTACATTATGTCATTAACCAATGTACATGTATGTGAATTTACCTAAGTATTAAAGGATTGACAAAAATGAGTATATCATAGCATAGTTTATAGAATCCACCAGTAATAATGTCCAATCCATAAGCTCTGAATAATGCAAGTACTAGAGATGGTTCTTTTCTTTTCTGTGGTTGTTTATTTGATTGTCCTTGAACAAATACCAACCTGTCAATAACATTCACATGCTATAAGGTATAAGTACATGAATATAATGTACCCTGATCTCTTCACTTCTTTATCCCATTCCTTTTGAAACCTGATAGAAGTCACTTCAGATTTATCCTCATAGTTAATATCATAAAGATCATCATGAGATAGCACTCTACGTGATCCCTTCCACATTAGTCTGTTAATTAAAAATTTAAAATCATGAATAAGTGAAAATCATCTTACGATTTGAGCCACCACCATGTCACAGAGGAGAAGAATGATGCCGATTCTTCAGGTGAAGGCTTGTGCTTTTAAAACTGAGAGTAAAAGCAATGGATGAATTAATCAGTGGCTAACTTTAAGGTAGTCATCGCTTGATTTAGGTTCTGGTATGAATGAGAGCATCAGTAGAAGCAAATAAACAAAATACTCCAGGGAAAATGTAAAAAAGTAAAACTTCTCAATAAATCCATGCTATGGAAATAAAGGTTGCATTGTAATCAAATTATAATTATTAATCTTCCGCTGTACTATTGGCACCAGATAGTGTGAAATACAAGTGATCATCAAACTTACAACTTGAGCCTTGGCAAGTATAGTCCACATTTTAATGGATCCATAGACCACTAGACCAATCCATAGGATGACAGGAGGACCAGAAGACCGAACTCCTTTCTTATACTCTGATATTAACAATAGAATCACTATCACCTATTCATTATAAAATAATAAATAAATATGATATGTATTATGTACCATAGTGGCGAATAGGACAGCAGGGGAAATAAAGAAATACGTAGCTTCATCTTGGAATATTTTGACATAAATAGCAAACCCCAAATCACAGATTGATATCAGTATAATTCCACAGCACAATAACTATCAACAACAAAGAATATCGGTTGTATTGGTGCTAGAACTCACAATCCTGGTCACAAGTAATAAATTGAAAGGAATATGAATAAAATCTCTCTTCTTCCGACAAAGAAAGTTAACGGTAGCCAGTATCCAAAAGAATAGGCACACTCCATAAAAGATGGCAGTGTCTTCAAAGCATAGGCTGACATTAAGTGTCCCATTTCCACCGAGAACTTGATTGCCTTTCTATTTATAAAAGCTAAAACGAAACATTAGCTCGTTCTGACTCACCCAGAATTCATTTGGCCTGCATATTTCATCCAAATCAGACTCTACCATGACTGAAGACAGCAGAGACTATGGAAGGGCGGGAGCCCCAAACACGCATGCGCAGAAAGTCACGTGTTGTCACGTGTGTTATTATAAAATTCAATAAAAAATTTATAAATAATTTTGCAATTCAATCTACATTATAAATAATTTATTAAAAAACACAGAGTGGCCAATAGACTAAAATTTGAAACCGGCATCAGTGACAAGATTATAAAATAAACCTCTGAGTTCCAGTAATTTCTCTGGAGTATCAAACTCTGCTATACGTCCTTCATCTAAGACCATAACTCTATACATAAGATTTAAAATGATTCAACAAATTACCTACTTACCTATCATAATCCATGATAGTATTAATCCTGTGTGCAATCGTTAAAATTGTGCAATCAGAAAACTCTTTACGGACAGTTCTTTGAATGAGATCGTCAGTTTCCAAATCAACAGCAGCTGTGGCCTCATCCAGTACTAGTATCTTTGTCTTACGGAGCAACGCCCGAGCAAGACACACTAACTGACACTGACCAACACTGAAACACATTTCAATGGATGCAATAAATAATGAAAGAATACCTCAAGTTTTCTCCTCCCTCAGTTACAATGTGATCCAGCCCTCTGCTCAGTCCCTGTACATATGTGCTCAAATGGGCATTGTGTAGAGCCCTCCATATTTCATCATCAGTGCAAGTATCAAAGGGATCAAGATTAAAACGAAGTGGCCCTGAGAATAGTAATGGATCCTGGCATTAAGTATAAAACAAAAAAACATTAACATTATCTCTAACTTGTGGAATGATTGTTAGTCGTGATCTAAGGTCACGTAGTCCATATTTACTGATGTCCATGCCATCAATTAAAATGGATCCTTTATCAGCTTCAATGATACGAAACAATGACATAGTTAATGATGACTTCCCTGCTCCAGTCCGTCCTACAACACCAACCTAGAGTATAGTAATAATAATGATCATGAATGACACTATTATTATTTAAGTGCTGACTTTTTGACCACCAGGTATGTAACAAGACACATTCTTTAGTACAAGATCAAGTCCAGGACGATAGCGTGTAGCATATTCATCAAATTGAATGCTACCATCTACTGGCCAATTAGGATCAGGCCTATTATCAGGAATAACTTCAGGAGCCTATCATAATATAAATTTATTAAATTCATAAATCCCTATTCACTTCATTAGGTAACTCTGTGTATTCTTTGATTCTTTCAACAGACACTAAACTGCTCTCCAAGTCACTTGTCATTCTTACTACCATGGCCAATAGTAATGTCATCTGATGCAAGAAAAAAATGACAAATTATAATACAACAGCATATCAGCTAACCAAAAAAGCTTGGCTAATTGACATTCCAGCTAAACCAGGGTCAATAAAACCAAAAATGTGCGGATAATTACGTTGAAGAGTTGCAAACATTGCTGCCGAAAAAACGATGACTGATCCAACGAAATCAAGCTGAACTGATAACCACCTTTACAGTAACCATACAGAAATAAATAATAAAAATTGAATTAAATTAACCATTATACCTGACTATTGAGGAATGGCTAACATACAAAGCAATTTGATTGTAGTCTACATGAAGCTCAGACTGCAATCGAAATCTTTCAGCAACATTATAAGCTCTGATGCTAGAGATTCCATCAATGCTCTCTTGAAAATGAGAATAAATTGGAGAGCGTGAGGTAGCTTCAAGACGCTTTAACTGTCTTGAAGTTGCTACGTAAAAACGCTACAAAAATAATAATAATAAAGAAATAATTTCATAGAATCTCAGTCACCTGGACAATCAAGTAGAAGACTGTTATCGGTACTATGACTATGAGGAACCATGGAGAGGCCACAGAGATAATAGTGATGACTCCAAAAGTTGAGAAAACTGTTATGAGAAATGAGTTTGTAAACAAAGGAATCTTTTCATCAACAGCATCTATGTCCTATGATATACAGAAAATCAAACTACTCTTAGCATTACAGTTAGAGATACTTTTGAGAATCTATTCAGGAGTCTTCCTAGAGGTGTAGTATCAAAGAATGACATTGGTGATCGAAGTATGCTGGATAGCATTTCATCATGGAGTCTCCTTGAAGCTTTAACAGTTCCAAATGATAATGTCAGTGAAGCAAATAGCAGTGAAACAGATTGTACGATTCCAAACGTGGCATATATACCAAGATTAGCAAAACTACATGTGCATTTATTAACATATCAACCAATGCTATAGACTTACAGTGTCAAGTTATCATTTCCTCCAGCATTACTCCAATGAGCTAACCAGAGCAACTGACCAACATATCCTCCAGTGGAAAGAAATGAGAATATCAACAAAATTAGAAATATAATAAATGTGAATGACTTGAGATATGCAAACACAACAGACATCTTGACCTAGTACATAAGTTACAGTAACATATTGTAGCAAAATTATCATATTATCTTACAATGCCAACTTGAACTTTCTCATCAGACAAAAGAGTTGACTCTTTGCCTAAAGAAAATATTTTTACTTGCACAGTAGATGCTGTAACTTACTGTCCTTATCAGGAAAATACTCCAATTTGTCAGCTATTTTTTCAGTGTCTAAACAAAGAAATTAAGTGTAATGTGCATGTAGATCTTATTACTTACTTTGTTTCTTTTCATCACTCTCATCTGTTGAGCCATAGTTTTGTAGAAACACAGAGAACTCTCCATTGTGTCCAAGTAGTTCTGAATAAGTTCCAACCTCACTAATCCTGCCTTCATTCATGACAATTATCTTATCACATTGAGATAGGAACCTCACACTATGAGTCACTAATATACGTACCTACATGTACATGCTATCATGAAACAATACTAATATCAATGTTATGTATGTTTACTTTGTTTTTCAATACTCCTTCAGGTCCTATCACATTATCAAATATGTGTTTACCAACATGTGAATCAACAGCAGATAAAGGATCATCAAGTAAATAAACATCAGACTCCTGGTAGACTGCTCTAGCTAGACTAACACGTTGTTTCTGACCACCACTAAGATTAATACCCTATTAATGAGACCATGATTATTAATATCTATACCATTTGGTTACTTTCTCTCCTATTTCAGTCATGTCCCCTCCTGGTAATATTTCCATATCTGCTTCCAAAGCACAAGTACTAATGACCTCATTGTAGAGAACGTTATTGAACCCTTTACCAAAAGTAATGTTATCTTTGACTGTAGCATTCAATATCCAAGCAATCTGAGGTACATAAGCTACTCTACCCTATACTGCATTATAGTAAGCATTGTCACTAATTTTTTACCCTAAGAACTACATGTCCATTTATCTTATTCATTTCTCCTAAGATGGCTGATATCAATGCTGATTTACCAGCTCCAACAGGTCCCACTACAGCCACTAGCTCACCAGGTCTCACAGATAATTCAATACTAGATAGTACTAGATCATATACTTAAGCAATATCAAGGCTTACTTTGATAAGAGGAAATTGTCTGCCTCATCTTCCCATGTGAACACACCTCCTGTTATTGATACTGCATCTAAACCTTCAAATAAACAAATTAAAAGATCAGTATGACATAATCCTTAGCTTGCTTTCATCATATTTTTCACTTCTCTCAACACCTTCAGGATCAAGTTCTTCCGCAGTTAAAAATGAACTCAATCGTTTCAGTGACACATTAGCCTAACCACAATGCAATATTCAAATGAAACCATCATTGATTGATTCATTACTTGAATCATGTATGCAATTGTCATTGGTAATCTAGTGAGTGGATATCTAAGAATATCAAATAGTGAGATCACAACAAAAACTTTTCCTGCTGTGAGGCTAAAATCAGTACTTGACCTACTGAAATTAATCACCAAGAATGTGCCAAATGTAACCAGTATAACCTAAGAAAAATTATTGTCTATTGAATAAAAACTTATTCCTAAACATACAGCAGTGTTAGTGCTGAACCATGTAAGAGCAGAAAATGCCTGAATGCGGGATATAGTCCTTAGGTTGTGAAGCTCTATATTTCGTAATTCTTTGACTTTATTTCGAAATGGAATCTCCCATGCATATAGTTTAATCACCTACAATAAACTTCATAAATATGTATAAATTATGAAATGCTCTTGATACCTTGATGCCACCAATGATGCTATTAATAATTTTCAGTCTCTTGTCCTTAGCTTTCATCAGTTTAGTTTGAAAGTATCGTCCAACAAGGAACACCAGTAAAGTAAAGGGTAGCAATAATAGCAATACTGCCAGGCCAGCGAGAATAGCAAAACCCATTGTCCAGTATAAGACCACTAGAGCAACAACAATCTGTAAAGGGCCAGACCAAACCATATGAAAGTAGCTCAATGTCTCTATGAATCTGTGGGCATCAATAGACATGAGATTAACCATCTCTCCTATTGTTCTGATCTGATAAGACTTTCTTGTCAAAACTAGGGACTATAAATCAATAATACATCATCATGATGATGGTGATGATTCTAGATATACCTTGTTGTAGATTGCAGCAATCAAACCTGTTCTGATTCTCATTCCAGTTACTGTAATATGATTAAAGTATTGTTGATAAGTAAGAGAATGCAGTAATGCATTAAGAAACATTGCCACTGCATAAAAGTATCCATTCCATGCAGGTTGATTCTTATCATGAATATATGCTACCATTAACCTATTGGGTATGCAGTATTGTACTTGATTGTTATAATGTTCATACCTAAGGAGCAGAGGATTAATAAAGATGAGTATGTCATAGCATAGTTTATAGAATCCACCAGTAATAATGTCCAATCCATAAGCTCTGAATAATGCAAGTACTAGAGATGGTTCTCTTCTTTTCTGTGATTGTTTATTTGATTGTCCTTGAACAAATACTAACCTGTCAATAACATTCACATGCTATAAGGTATAAGTACATGAATATAATGTACCCTGATCTCTTCACTTCTTTATCCCATTCCTTTTGAAACCTGATAGAAGTCACTTCAGATTTATCCTCATAGTTAATATCATAAAGATCATCATGAGATAGCACTTTATGCGATCCCTTCCACATCAGTCTATAACATTACCAGTTATTCAATGCATAAAGAATACTGAGCTCACTCACGATTTCAGCCACCACCAAGTCACAAGGGAAAAGAATGATGCTGATCCTTCAGGTGAAGGTTTATACTGCAAACAATTAAAGAGTAACATGATAATTATGATGCTCGATGACTAACCTCAGTGTCTCTGATGTAGTCATCAATTGATTTTGGTTCTGGTATGAATGAGAGCAGAAGTTGAAGTACGAAAAAGAAAAACTCCACAGAAAATGTAGTGAAATAGAATACTTCAATGATTCCTGTCTATAGGAAATACAAAAAACGTTTCAACTTATCACTTACAGAATTTTGGCATAGTGTGCATGCATGCCTGTACTATAGTACAGAGTATTTTGTCAAAACTGGCTAGGAGAAAATTCTTCATTTTTATAATTTGACATACAAATTTTTATGTTGTGTAGAAAATTTGAACTGGTTCTAATAAAATTAGGATTTTTTATTAATTTTAAAAGTTGCTCAGAAATTGGGCCAACATCCCTGTACTGTACAATTAGACTTTTATCAAATTTTGTCAAGAATGAAAAGGAGGGAACCTATTTTATAATTTTTTCTGATACATAAACATGTACTTATGTTGTGTAGTATATATACTGTATTATAGTGTCATGAAGCATGCCATGCCATTTAGTTCATGCTTTGTGGGAAACCCTGCAACTTATACACATAAAGAAGCTATATCTCAATAATTGATTGCCCTAATAATGAAATTATGCCAAACACTCATTGATCTACCACATAAGTCAGAATGTCCACCATAGTTGTAGGGCTCAAATTACTAAGAACTATAATATGTTTTCATTTACATTACTGGTGTTTGTAGTATCATTTGTAACTTACTACATCAGCCTTGGCAAGTATAGTCCACATTTTAATGGACGCATAGACCACTAGACCAATCCATAGGATGACAGGAGGACCAGAAGACCTAACTCCTTTCTTATACTCTGATATTAACAATAAAATCACTATCACCTATTAATAACAGTATAATTATAATACGTAACATTTTCTTACCATTGTGATTGCTAGAATGATAGGAGAGAGAAAGTAGTAAGCTGGCACACCTCCATTCTTCATTTCAACAATGACAGAGTACACAAAATCACAAACTGCTACTAACACAATGCCAAAACATAAAACCTACAAGACAATCATGAAATTTAGTGGATTAAGGTTCTACAAATATTTATTCATGGATCTCAACGTACCACTCTTGTCACTAGCAATAGATTGAAGGGAATAAGGACAAATTCTCTCTTTTTGCGACAGAGAAAGTTAATGGTAGCCAGTACCCAAAAGAATATACAAATTCCATAGAGGACTGCAGTGTCTTCAAAGCATAGGGTAATATTCAGGGTTCCTCTTCCACCAAGGATTTTGTTGCTTGTCTATACAATGACAATAATATAAAGTAGTAGAAATACGAGAGGGAAAACTGACCCAAAAGACTTTTGGCTTACAGAGTTGGTCAAGATCAGTAAGCACTGCCATTGTGACTAATTAATTATTAATATCTTAATAATTAATATCTTAATAACTACCACAAATTTAATTTGTAGCGATACTTCCTTGTTTTGTTTTAGGCCTTAATTCTCTGCTGGAGGAGTCTTTAGGCAGCACACTTGCTGCTTAGAAAACTAAAGAAAGCTCCTGACCGTAACCAACCCACTTTCAAAAGCTTACATGTATTACAAATGGTATCTAAAAAATGCAAATCATGGTATTTTTAATACTTCAATGATTTATTATACAAAAATAACTAAAAAGTAGCAGTATAGTTGCATTTGCCGGATATCGATCCACTGGTTGTTGTCCAGTTTGGAAACGTATGAAGATCAAACAAAGGAACTGCCCAAGTATTAACAGCCAAATTGACTGCAAAAACACAAATAATGTTCATAAAAATACCAGTGAGTACCTGCATATGAATGAACCTAGTAAAACTCAGTAAATGTTTCAGTATACTAACCATGTCGTAGACTTTAAGATGACGATAAGTGAAAGCAATTGCATTGGGAGGAGTGGCGACAGGGAGCATGAAAGCAAATGAAGCAGAGACTGTAGCTGGTAACATGAGATAAAACGGATTGAGTGATAAAGCCACAGCCTAAAAATAACAAAAATTAAAAAGTACATGTAACTAAAAATATAAGCAAGACCCACTCTTGATATAAGTCTGTTGCAGTAATACTTAAAAGTCTGCTACTAATAAAATTAATAATACTAAATGGGCAATGCAGTGCTGATATTTGTACTATTATTAACATGTACCCAATGGCAATGGTACACTGTATATTAAGTTTTATTGACACACTGCATAAATAAATACACATCACTAGAATACATTGGTATACTGTACTATACTAACCAGTTGTGCTAGTATGGGTAAAAACAATGTAGTCGTTGCAACATTAGAAATGACTTCAGTGACTGAAGCAATGATGACAGAAACTGAGAGGACCTTCAATACATCAGGAACATGTCTTATACCTAGTAGCCTCTTACCAATGACACATGATAGGCCAGATTTCTATAAAATAAATAATATTTATTATTACACATCATAATAACGTTTCTCACACTACAAATGTCCTTCACATACCGTATAGCGCTTTAATTTTGCGGATTGATAAAAATCAAATTTTCACGGAAATAATTTTTGCAGATTCGCAATGTTAGTGCCACACCTTTAATGGCAATTGAAATTTTAGCGGATCTTTAATTTCGCGGTTTCATGCTAACCACAAAAATAGCGAAAGTTTAGCTCCTCGAAAATAAAGCACTATATGGTAATTGAGATTATTTGTATTAATGATAAGTAGGGCATTCAATCAAGGGTACATAAATGTACCCTTGACTTTTGCCCATTCAAAAATTTTTTAACCCGCTTGTTCCTCAACACAGATCCGCTCACAGGCCTCTAAAACCTTGCACTCTTATAAAGCACAATTTGTGAAAAGTTGCTAGTGGGTCTCAGTGAACTACAGACTAACAGTTTATACAAGCACAAGGATTAAACAAACAATGTGGTCAATTATAGACCCTATAAAATTTTAACACCCTAAACCCTCCCCTTTATGGGGTCCTGATTGTATACATGTACATACATCAGCTCCATCAGCTAGGGCAAAGCCAGATCCCAATAATAGGACAACGTTCCATGGAAGCTTATGATGGACACTATCCCAATCCAATAGAGTCTCTCTCCCATCAGCAGGACATGCTATATGAAGGAATGAATTAGGAACAGTATAATGATGTGAGTAACTTACAGCATGAGCAATGGCGTCGCCTACGAAAGAAGCAACAAGGTTTGGTGGGTAATATAAATAATAACAAGACAATAAAAATAACTGTACTAGAATCGGAAAAATAACTAAAAAGATTTAAAGAAAGAGCAAGAGAAAGGGAGAGAGAAGAGAAGAGTTACTTGATATAAAAATTTACAAGATACCTTTTCATATTGTCATCTGTTTTAAAAATGGCTCCCCAGCCAGTAATGAACTGGGGCTCTCTGGTTAGCCACAGGAGAGCAAGAATCACAAAACAACACAGCAACTCAATCTCCGCAAACCTACACCCACACATTAAAGACAGCATGACACAAATTCTACATAAGTACATGTATGCGCTAATATTATTTCCATGCACCATTTTCTCATAATGGTACATGAATCAGAATTCAATAACCATTAGAAGCTATCATGAAGGCTATTATTAGAATACTATCATGTAAATATTACTGGCACTACACTACACTACCTACAATGGACATACAATGTATTACAATACTATGTAGAGTGACACTCGTGAGATCATTGGTAGTGTCTTACTTCCAAGGGCCAAGTCTCTTGTACTGTTGTCTCAATACATTACGTGCAGCTTTACTTGAATAAAAGCCACTAGCTCCGGCCTTTCTACACAGCAACCTCTTTAACTTTCCAAAACTGTTGAGAGAGAGGGGGAGGAGAGAGAGAGAGATTACAATAAAAAGAGAAATAGGTAGAACAAGATAAAGAAAGAAAAATAGAAACAGTATAAGTAAGAAAAATTGAACAGAGAAGATGAAAAATGGACAGTAATGCCAGTGGTTCAGACTAGAGTATTACCAGTCATTACAAAAGAGAAGTGACAGATACATCCATGATATAGAGAGACATAATATCATGAGAGGGAATGCAAATGCAAACCATAACCCAAAATTAATACCTGGTCCATCAGGAAAAAACCTAGGAACAAAAAAATTAAAATAGACTTCATGTAAAAACAGATTACAGCTACACAAAATTATGTGTATCGTGATAACGTTATGTGTTATTAGTAATATTACAATCATGTTATGCGTGATAGCATAATTATTTTATTTGATGCAGTAAATGAACTGCTTACTGTTCTATGTCGCCTTTAAAGACGAGGTTAGGTCCTGTCCCGGTGAGCGTTGCAATGCCACCAATATTAGCGGAATAGGCCACACCCAACATGAGGCCTTTAGCAAGCCATGAGAAACCAGGGGTAGGTTTAGGATGTTGGACTGAAGCCGTCTCTGAATTATTATCATTATTTCTATAGAAAAGGATTAAAAATTAAAGGTCTATAGAAAAATGAAGCAATATTTTGAATCCTAAGTAAAACATAACACGTACTATAAAATGCCTAATCTTTATGCATGATAAAAATGAAAATACTAAATTACTAATAACACTAACACATAATTATGATCACCTTGTACCTTTCCATGATTTCTTGTCTATCATCAGTATACCCATTATTATCTTCAGTAATGGACTCAGTCTTCACATCAATAGGAGATTCCTTAATCTCATCTTCTTTCTCTTCTTCTGAAGACTCCGTAGAGTTATAAGACTGCTGATGCTGCTGCCTAGCTGACACTAGTTGAACGTTTTCTGAGTAATCTTCAGTCCTAGGTTCTCCTCCCCCTCCTCCTCCTGTATCAGTGCCAACTTCTGATGATGAGTGTTCACTTATTTCTTGTAGAACTGCTTGAGCAATGGGGAGCATCATGGCTGCAGTAGCTGTGTTACTGATCCACATTGAAAGGAATGCTGTGACACACATGAAGCCGAGTAGAAGCCTTTAGAATAAAAATGGAGAGAGAGAGAGAGAAGTTTCAAAAAGAAAGAAAAAGGACACAGAGAGAAAAAGTAGCAGAGACAAAATACATGAACATTCACTACATTGCTAGTTTGTTAATTAATCAGAGATTATGCTATGCCAAATCTTACACTGACCATTTTGGACTGGACCCAACCAGCAGCAACACAAGGAGTGCTATCCTCTTGTGCAGATTCCACTTTTCAATTGCTACAGCGACCATTAGACCTCCGACAAACAGCATATTGGTATCGTTGAGGTAGTTAATGGCGGTTTCTCCAGCAGTGAGAACACCAAGGGCAGGAAAGAGGAACAGTGGTAGTAGAGAAGTAGCAGCAAGAGGTATGGCCTCTGTTATCCAGTAGACAGCTATAATGGCTATTGTGTAAAAAGCACACGCCTCCTAGAATGTACACAGTACATTAAAAACCTGTATACAGAATTTAAACAGATTTTTGACTGAATGTAATGTAACCCATGGTGTTTCATCAAAAATGGCAGGGAGAGAATTCTTCACTTTTATAATTTTTTCTAATGCGTATACATGTTTTTATGTTGTGTAGAAAGTTTGAGCTGACTCCGATGAAAATTGATTTTATAATGAACTTTTAAAGTTGCTCTAAAATGGAGCGAAAGTCCCTGTACTATAGTATAGGGATTTTGGCCAAATTTCGTCAAAAATGAAAAGTAGAAATTTCTTTACTTTCATAATTTTTTCTGATACATTATACATGTACTTATGTTGCATAGAAAGTTTGAGCTGATCCCAATCAAAATTGAATTTGTTATGAATTTTAAAAAGACATAAGGAGTACATACATGTACAATTAAATAGGGCTACTTACAGAAGAGAGATCAAATGCAAAAGGAATAGGACAAAAGAGGATCGGTGTGACCACAATAACTGCTGTCCTCCACCAACCTTTAACATAATCCAGAGCTACTTGTCTTCTACCTAGAAAAATAATAGAAATAGCCCAGGATTAGGGAGAGAAAAACCAAATGAACACATGAATACATACATTGCCAAGTATCGTATATGTACATGCATTAGGAACAAAATCAACCTTATATCTTAATAATTGAATACACAATTATACATATATCCTTTCAAAAGTGAAGAGTCTAACACAATTTACACAAATACTAGTGCAGTACAGTATACTATCATAATGAACTATTTTCATAATATATAATAAATGTATCATTTACTCATGGGAACGTCTCCTTCATTAGGACTGCCTTCCTCCTCTTCTTCTTCTAACAAAGATGCATCGTCTCCGGTTCCATTAGCCGCCATTTTAAATTATGAGCCTACATACGACACGCCCATAGCCCCGCCCATTCATTTAATTTTTTTAAATTTTCATTTAAATTTTTTGGGATCAAAAAATAATAATCATCTGTGTTTCTTTGCTAGACCTGCTTTATTAATTGCAAATTTTGAAGCAGATTTTTGGTCCTTGGCTATTTCAATAGCGTAATAATGTTCATCACCATTGTTCTAAAAAATTATAAAAAAGATCTGCATTTTGAAGGACAAAAATAGAGAATTTTTCAACTTACATTATATAAATCTTTATTGCTTTTACTAGATCTACTATTAGCATTTATTGTAGATTTATGTGGCATTTTTATTCTTTTCAGAGATTTTGGACTAATTACTAGCAGAGGATGAAAAAAAAATTTATAATTACAAGATGATCAAAATTTATTAAAACATACTGTGACTACACTCCACCACTAGAAAACCACCAAATCCCCTGGAACAATCCTTAACAGTGGTGACATTATCATAGCAAGAAGAGATGGTACCAGCACCAAGAGGACAACTGAAATTAGCATAAGCGGACTTATAAGAAGAAATAGTTCGATTGTCATAGAAATTTGTCACACTTGCTGCATTAAAGTACAATGCTATAGACTAAAAATTATAATACAAGTTTATAAAAGTACTTCACTTTCTGATTGACAGAATAATAGAGCGACATAATCATTGATTCCATCAGCACAGACATCGCCGTATGTTGAATTGATGCACATTGAAATTTGATAGACTCTTGTATAATCGATGCCATTTTTGAAATAAGTGATAAGCCTTAGAGCTGGTTTTAGATCACAGTATTCATACCCTGGAGCTTTCTCAATACTGGCAGAGTGAATATAGGACACTATTAGTGTCAGTATTAATAGTATTATACTAGGCATTATTCGTCTCATCCTATAAACATCAAATGAATAGTAAAAAGGAAGCAATATTTAGTCAATATGCATCAGATAATGTAATGTAAATTGAGGACAATTTCAAAGCCATTTTTTAGATAAGTCATGGACTATAGTTTTACTTTTTTTGACAATATTTTGATACTTATTAAAATGGTCATAACTTGAAAAACTGAAGTTGGAATTGACTCAAACTTTCTATATACTGTAAGTACAACAATATGCATTAGAAAATGTAATAAAAATTGGAGGTGATTTCAGAGCCATTTTTTGGAAAAAACCATGGGCACTGTAAGTACAACAATATGCATTAGAAAATGTAATAAAAATTGGAGGTGATTTCAGAGCCATTTTTTGGAAAAAACCATGGGCTATAGTACAGGGTATTTTTCCAAAATTTGGAGTTTTTAAAAAGTGGTCATAACTCGAAAAATTGAAATCGGAATTGGCTCAAACTTTCTACGTAGCATAAGTACATCAATATGTATCAGAAAATGTAATAAAAATTGGGGGTCATTTTGGAGCCATTTTTTGCAAAAAACCATGGGCTATATATAGTACAGGGTATTTTTCTGAAATTTGGAGTTTTTAAAAAGTGGTCATAACTCGAAAAATTGAAGTCGGAATTGGCTCAAACTTTCTATATACTATAAGTACAACAATATGCATTAGAAAATGTAATAAAAATTGGAGGTGATTTCAGAGCCATTTTTTGGAAAAAACCAAGGCTATAGTACAGGGTATTTTACTGGGATTTGGAGTTTTTAAAAATAGTCATAACTCAAAAAATTGGAGTTGGAATTGGTTCAAACTTTCTATGTAGCATAAGTATATCAATATGTATCAGAAAATGTAATAAAAATTGGGAGTGATTTCGGAGCCATTTTTTTGCAAAAAACCATGGGCTATAGTATAGTACAAGGTATTTTTCCGAAATTTGGAGTTTTTAAAAAGTGGTCATAACTTGAAAAATTGCAGTCAGAATTGGCTCAAACTTTCTACGTAGCATAAATATATCAATATGTATCAGAAAATGTAATAAAAATTGGGGGTAATTTCGGAGCCATTTTTTGGATAAAAACCATGGGCTATAGTACAGGATATTTTTCCAAAATTTGGAGTTTTTAAAAAGTGGTCATAACTCGAAAAATTGAAATCGGAATTGGCTCAAACTTTCTACATAGCATAAGTACATCAATATGTATCAGAAAATGTAATAAAAATTGGGGGTGATTTTGGAACCATTTTTTGGAAAAAACCATGGGCTATAGTCGAGTCTTTTTTTGCTTTTTCAAAAATTTGCTACTTTAAAAAATGACCATAATTCAAAAAATTTCAGCTGAAATCAGTTCAAACTTTTACACAAAAAGTAATCATTTCTTGGAAAAAGCAAAGATTATGGTATTTTTCATATTTTTTCAGATAGCCATAAGTCAAAATCTATTTAAAATAGGAATCATTACGTATTGTTCCTTTCCCTTGAGTTACATGATAACAAGCTTGTTGACACTTCAACAAGCTTGTTAACACTCTGAGCACAGGTGGTCTATCTAAATATTAATAATCTGAATATATTTACCAGTGATCTTATTAGGCAGACTGTAAATTTGATGAGAAAAATCTCCCTTTACCTTTCAGTTTCTTACTTAGTTCTCTATCTCTCTCTACAAAAATGGTGAGTTCTGCTTCCAGCTCCTCCTTATTTTAGGAGGGGCCCTATGCATGGCTCAGTGCAGCCCCGCCTAGGGAGCTTCGGCAGTCTCAAGCCAGGGGTCCGGATAAAAGTAGGAGTAGGAGTAGGCAGGGGCGTTTCTAGCATGGGGCTGAATGGTGCTTGAGCCCCCCTCATGGCTGGGCTCAGAAAAAATTACTGAAGTCCTGGACTCTTGCATCACTACCAAGCCTCTTAACAAAGTTATCTAGCCCCCTTATCATGATTTCAGCAGTTTCCAGTGCTTTAAGGAGCAATCAGAAGTACCAGTAACATGGCAGTATGCTTGAAAGGATCTTGGCCCCACCCATAATTGACGAAAATGCAGAAAAAGGCCGTTTTACCGCCGTAAAACTGGGTGTGGCCAAAATTGCGGCGCGCTTCGCGCCCTCAGCTCCCCCTTCCTCAATTCCTAGATACGCCCCTAGTAGGAGTAGGAGTAGGAGTAGGAGTTAGAAGTCTCAAGCTATAACAATTTAAGCTACTTACTGATTAGGTCAGTTGATACTCAGTTAAGGCTTTTAGTAAGCTGAATTTGCCATAAATACTGTGAGCATGCATGGAGAATTAGAGATAGATTCTCAGCTATCTTTACATTCTGCATGTGTGATGAATGCTTTGTATAAAGATCTATTCAAACAGCAACTGCTAAATATATACATGCATAAATCTCCCAAATATAAAACAAAAAAATCATAGCCTGATATTGAAGTCAATATGTATTACGATTGGCATTTATAATCAACCCAATAGTACATTCCAATGCTCCAAAATTGGATGTATTGTTTACATTACACTATGAACATACAGTTAGCATAATAATTCTTATGCACTTGACTGCTTTTACTAGCTACTACAAATACCACTAACACTATGTTTTTACTTACAGAGGGCATAGCAGAAGATCATAATGCCAACATTAGTCAGAAATGCCCACGTTTGGACTGACCAGTATTTCAGTGACTTTATCGATACTACTACAATAAATGGAGTCTTTCAAATTTTTAGAGGAAGATCAAAAATTAGGCAGATATTTTGGGGATTGCTGTTCATTGGATCATTTATAGGCTGCATTGTCACATTTGGATACAGCTTCAGAAATTTTGCTCAAAAACCCACAGCATCAACTATTAAAGTTATTACACAAGCACAAACTGGGCTGGCTTTTCCTGCAGTGACAATATGCAATCTTAATATATACCAAAATCCCAATTATTCAAACGTCCTTAGCTCTGAGATGTATGCTCTAATCCAATATCTTTTTGAGACAGATGACATCTTTAATGAGTTTAACATAACAAGTGAGTGTAAGGATCTGATAGATAATGCCAGCGAGGATTATGGAAAAGAAAGTCTGTATGACATGTTGCTACCAAAAGACTACAGCAGTAACTTGATTTATGATTGTACCTTTCGAGATGATGCCTTGGGTGATGCGATGTCTTGCAAGGATCAGTTTTATCCTGTATTGACACCAGGAGGCATTTGTTATACGTTCAACGGCGTCAGAAGTGAAATGATAGCTCCAGTTATTAAATCTATTGGGATTAAATATGGTCTGAAATTGGTTCTGAACATTGAGCAAGAAACTCATCCGACGTTTGATGGTAGGACCGGAGTGAAAGTGATCATTCATGAGAGAAATGATATTCCTCGCCCAAACCTTTATGGTATCAATGTTTCTCCTGGTCAGAACATTGACATTGGCGTCTCGAGATCTTTCTTCATTGACGAAACCGATCAAGATAAATGCAACAATGACATAGAAGGCAACTTTCCCTTTCTTCCAAATATCGTGTACTCTCAATTTGCCTGTCGAATAAATCAACTTTACGAGCGTTTGTCACAGCAAAGAAATTGTGGGTGCCTTCCTATTCCATACAGACCAGAGAGTGGTCCATACACTAATACACCTAATTGCACTCTTGGTAATTTGTGCTGTTTGTTAAGAGAATTCCCAATTGCGGATGCTAGCAGTACCTGCCAGTTACCTTGCAATTATTCTGTCTATGAGTACAGAGATAGTTACTCCAGTTTTCCTAATGGTCGTGCTCTTACTGAAATTGCAAGAAAAGTAAATATGTCCAAAACAGATGTCAAAGAAAACTTTTTATCTGTAAACGTATTTTTTGAAGCGCTACATACAACAGAGTCCATCACGCAGTACACTTATGGGGCGGTTGACCTGTTGGGTGAATTGGGTGGTAACATGGGTCTATTTCTTGGCATCAGTATAATATCGATAATGGAGGTTATCATGTTAATCCTTGATGAAATAAAGCACTTGTGTCCCAAAAAGGTTAAAAAGAAATTTGACAATATCGACGACAAACTTAGAAACTATATTCCTGATATTGCTCCATCACAAACTGATACTCCTAATGCATTGGAAGCAGGCACAGAAGAGGTGCATGTAGAAGATCCATCTCCAAGTGAAGCCGACATTAAAAGCAATGCAGAAGCTATTGAAGAGTCTTAAATGATGTCACCTACAAATGGTGCAGAAGATAGACATTTTACTTTATAACTGTTGCTTTATTTCATTTTTGCTCAAAATTTTATAGATCTAGTAGTGTGTGTTTTTTTCTATGAATAAAAAATAGATTTACATCAGCTCAGATTAGTTACATCAGCATTCAGCAGGGAGGGGCTGGAGTTATCCCACTCAATTTAATTCATATAAATAGTCCTCTAGAGTTAGTGTCTGGAGAAGTCATTCTGTCAAGAGCATTGATTTGTGGTGTGGTGACTGAATACTAGATCTGTAAGGTAAGAATGCTTAATTACAATTGTAGACTCTACAGTGACACTAGATCTAGATGATGCAAGCATAATGTATCATTGTATTGTAATAATTATTAGCTACAGAATGAGAATTACAGCCACTAAATATTCTTTGTTGGACCTACAAATAGTACAATGCCACCTACAAGTGGAACATAAAAATTTATCTTACTTTATAACAGTAAACAGCTGCTGTTGTGTGTGTGTGTGTAGATGTTGAATGTGACAATAAGTCCAACACCTGAAATTGAAATGCACTTAGATCCATTTTTATAATGAAAACAATTGGTGTTATTTACGAAATTCCTTGCTTTCATGTTATAATGACAATTTTGCTTTCACTAACAACACACCATTCATTATTGTGATCATTATTGTCATACCACTACTACATAAACCATCAACATCATGTTATTATAATTATATAGGTAAACTGCAACAATGACTAAGAAAGGATTCAAATGGAGTGATCAATACTTCAATGATTTTGTCGAAACGACTACAATCAATGGTGTTTTCCATATTTTCAGGGGGCGAACTAAAACTAGACGCCTCTTGTGGGGGTTGCTATTCTTTATTTCATTCGTCTCGTGCACTATCGTATTAGGCTTTAGTTTTAAGCGATACTCTGAGAAACCCACTGTATCTGCAATCAACGTTATCTTGGGAGAAAATGGAATACCTTTTCCATCTGTTACAGTGTGCAATCAGAATTTTTATAAAGATCTCAATGTTAGTAATGAGACAAATGCTCTCATTCACCATCTCTTCCATTCGGGTGGTTTTCTACACGACATAAATCGCACGCAGCAATGTAAGATAGATGAGGACAGGCATGACTTTGAATTGCAAGATTTGCTGATACCGAAAGAGAACAACTTCATTCATTATTGTGCCTTCAGTCATCAAGCTGAAAGTGAAATCATGTTATGCAAGGATAAGTTTTTTCCTACATTGACACCAGCAGGCATCTGCTACACGTTCAATGGCGTTAGAAGTAAAACAAGAGCTCCAAAAATGACAACAACTGGCAAAAGGTATGGCCTGAGGCTGATACTGAATATTGAACAAGAGACACATCCAGTATTTGATGGAGTTGCTGGAGTTCAAGTGATTGTTCACGAATCAAACGATATTCCTCGTCCAAATTTGCATGGTGTTGGTGTATCACCTGGTCAGAATGTTGATATTGGAGTGAAAAGGGCAATTATGTTTGACGAAACGGATCAAGATGAATGCATAAAAGATAATGGAAAAGATCTCCCTTTTCTACCAGGTGTTGTATATTCTCAGTATGCCTGTCGACAGAATGAGCTCTACGAAAGCTTGGCAGATAAAAACTTGTGCAATTGTATTATTGATCCGTTTGAATTAGGCAATGCTACTTGCTCTTCGCATGACCTCTGCTGTTTACAGCAACAATTCACTGAGCATGACCGTAACAGTAGCTGCAGGCCACCATGCAAGTATACGTATTATGACATAATGAATAGCTACTCCAGTTTTCCTGAAGGACATGCTCTTACAGAAATAAAAAACTCAATCAATGCCTCTGAAGATTACATCAAGAAAAATTTTTTGTCTGCCAGTGTCTTTTTGCAAGCTCTTGAAACAAGAGAAACGACGACACGATATTCATACGGGGTGGTTGAACTTTTAGGAGAATTAGGTGGGAATCTTGGACTGTTTCTTGGCATCAGTATTATATCAGTCATGGAGTTATTGGTTCTGGTCATTGATGAGGTTAAAAAGTGTGTCTGTCCCAAGAAAGTCAAACAAAAGTTTGAAAAGTTTGATGACAAGCTTAAATGCATTCCCGATTGTGTTGAGCAAGAGGAAAAAGATGAAAATACATCAGGCCCAAGTGCTGAGCTTAATAAAATTGCATAAAACTGCATAACATCATTTTTGTGTGCTCTTAGATTCATTTCCTTTGCTGATTTTTAGATAGCTAGATTATAGATTATAATAGATTCATTAATTATTATTCATTACTGACTATCTAGCTGATAACGCTAATAACGAAGTTACTCTTCCTTTTATGCATGCAGTGAGCTGCTCTGTAGATACACAGTTGTTAGATACTGATAGATCTACTTGTAGATACTTGTTCAGTTGTTCTTGGTCAGATTTAAAAGTTTAACCAGGTAAGATTTATAGCTGTAGATAGTCTATATTCAGCATGTTTTCTGCCTAAAAATATATAAACCTAAATATTTAGCCACTTAAATCTAAATTAGATTTATCCACTTTAGACATGTCTAATCTTAATTTATAATGCATTATAAATTACAAGCATGGCCAGTATAAATTCTATGTAAATTAGCAAAAGCATACAGTGCATCTAGCAAAAATCTAGCATAATTGAAATCTTCCCAGCTAGGCTTGCTATATAATAAGACAACAATACAGCATTCATCAGTGTATTCAGTTTCAGATCTTCAGTTTTATCACAAACAATGTTAGTTTGTTTAGCGTAGCTCAAAGTCAGTGGTGAAAGTTTTTGAAATGATTACATAAACTGTCAAACTAGACAGCTTTAATTAGATATTATATACACACCCATTTAGTTTAATTACTTATTTTTTAATAGATAATAATGCAGCCTGCTAAAGGGTATACGTTGACCGATCAATATTTTCATGATTTTGTGGAGACAACAAGAATATCAGGGATTAAACACATTTTCAGGGGAAGATCAAAAATAAGGCGCATAATGTGGGCACTGTTTTTTATTTCCTCATTCGTGGGTTGCACGCTTGTAGTGGGAAAGAATATTGCACGATACATTGAGAAACCCACAGCCTCTAGCATTAAAGTGATACCCCATGATAATGGAATGCGTTTTCCATCAGTCACTATATGCAATATCAATATATACAAAGATCCGAATGTTTCCGCTGTTAGCAAAGAGACGTATTCTCTTATTTATTATCTCTTCAATTCTGACACCAAAGAATACAACTCGACTCAGGAATGTATTGATAATGCCACTGAGTATTACAAAAAACATGATATATGGAGTTCGTTGCTACCAAAAGAGAATAACTTCATCCACGACTGTAGCTTCAGTTACGAAACTGGCGTCATATCATGCAAAGATATGTTCTATCCTGTACTGACACCAGCAGGTATCTGCTACACTTTTAACGATTTTAAGATGAATGAAATGCTTATTCCAAATATTACATCTGGTATGAAATATGGCCTAAAACTAGTACTGAACATTGAAGAAGAACGGTATCCAGCATTTGAGGGTAAGACAGGAGCTCAAATCATCGTACATGAAAGAAATGATATTCCTCGTCCAAATCTTGCAGGAATCAGTGTACCACCAGGTCAAAATATTGACATTGGCTTCATAAAAGCAATCAAAAATGATAAAACTGATAGCAGAGATTGCATCAACGATGGTGAAAAAAAATTGGATTTTCTACCAGATGTTGTATACTCTAAGTTTGCCTGTCAGGAGAATGAGCTTTATGAGCGCTTGGCAAGTAATTGTAATTGCACTATTAATCCATATGGATTAGACGTGACAAACACTTCAAATTGCTCTCTGAGTAACTTATGCTGCATGCGACAACAATATTCTAAATACAATCGTAACAGTAGCTGCAAGTCGCCATGCAAGTACACTTTTTATAATCTTAAAAACAGCTACTCTAGCTTTCCTCGAGGTCGTACTCTTACTGAAATTTCAAAAACTGTGAAAATGAATAAAAGTGCCATTCGAGATAATTTTCTGTCTGTTCATGTATTTTTACTAGACCTTGAAACAAAAGAAACTTATAGTCACAACTCTTTCGACATATCTGAGCTCTTGGGTGAACTAGGTGGTACTATGGGGCTGTTTCTTGGTATCAATATTTTAGCAATCGTTGAAGTTATAATACTCATCCTTGATGAGATTAAGAAGTATCTTTGTCCCAAGAAATGCAAGCAAAAACTTAACAAGATTGAAAACTGCATACCCGAATGTGCATTGTCGAGAGGTCGAAATGATACTCTTTTAACTGATCCAGTTTCAACTCCTGAAAAAGAAAACCATGAAACTCCATATACTACAGCTGTTGACATTGACAATTGAACAAAAACCTGAAAACATTACATTTTAGTTTTGCATCATCAAGAGTATTGCATTCATAATAATAATTATTGTGTGACTAATTATAAAATTTATTTTTTAAAGATAATAGTGTAGATCTAAGTATGAAACCATCCCCAAGACCTATGTGTAATAAATAAGGACACACTTACATGTAAAAATATTCAACAATTATATTGGAGGAAATCTTAAGAGTAAAGTTGTCTGACTTAGCTGTAAAGAATTAATTTCAACTCAACAACTATTAATTTTTATTAAATAACAAGTATAGTGATAATGTATGCATGTGCATGTACACAAACCAAAAATAGGGAAACTACTAAAATCACACAAGACTATAATATTAAAAATTTATCATCACCAAAGTTTAGAGTTCTGTTTTCTTGTCTTCCTCTTCAGTCGCTAAAGCTTCTTCATTAGCTACAACAGTCGATGCTTCAGGCTCTTTCTCAGTCATTGTTGTAGTCACATAGCGTGGCTCATCATCAACATCTCCCTGTTAAAAAGCACAATCAATTGATTACACATTCTGAAACAAATAATTTCTCAAAACTTATGTACACATACTATTAGCTAATCATAAATTTGCATAGTCGTAGCATTTTTATTATTACAAATGAATTATAAAAAAGTAATTTTAGAGCTACTTACAGAAGCCAGAGGTTCTTTCTCTGCAGTGGTAGCAGCCTCCGTTTCGTTGGTCAAATATTTTCCTGAAGAATCTAATCCATAAGTTTCTCTCCGAGTTGCTTTGCCAACAGACGGATCATGAGCAAAGTCATATTGCCCCTTTTGTCCTGGAATCATTCTAGTGACAGGTCTAAAAGCTAAGCGAGTATCAGAAGTACGAGCAAACGTCAGTATAACAAGTAACAGAGCATGAATCATGGAGAAGAAGCCAAATACATACTGGAGGGCAGTTGATCCGGGACCAGTGATGTTATACTGAGTACCAGTGATGGCAAATACCCATACAACACCAAATATGATAAAGAGGATCAACCCAACGTAGTAATGAGATATGACCGAGTCTTTACGGAATTGCTTCTCTGCTGAGGTCATTCCTGAGCAATAGATTAGGAAGAATGAGATGATGTAGTTTAGAAGAGCTAGGAGGTAAATCACTATCATTGGCAGAATGTAACCATAATAAAATAGATGCATCTGAGGGCGACAGCTACATTTAAAAGTAGAAAAAGGGACCATATAATTAATAATAAAAATGATAATTATAACATACAAAGCATTTTCCACAGTATAGTAATCATAGCCAGCAGCAGCAGAGATGATGACAATCACAGCAGGCAATACTAAAAAAATAATGTAAATTAAAATTTGTTTTTATTATGTATTTTACCTAAAGCAACTATTAATGACACAATAAAGAAGTGGCGAGTGAACACATTGCCACCAATTCCCATACGAAGTTTGACAGCATAAAACAATCCTTCAAACATTAGCCAGACAAAGTAGACCAAACTGAAGTAATGGAACAATCCAGCAAATGTACCACAGAAACCTAAAATGTAATGTTAAAGATGAACTGCTACTAATGTACATGTACTTACCAGTTGAATCAGTGTATGTAGCAGCAGTAGCCAATACAAAGACAAAGTAGAGTATCATGAGTGTTATATGAGACGTAGCTAGCAATCTACCCTCTGGACAATGACGCTGTGCACTACACAAAGAAAGTATATTTAAAATGTAGAGAGAGTGTGTGTCTTACTCTGATGCTAGGTGGCCAATAACAGCAACCAGAATTAATAATATAGAAATGATGAGACCAACAAAGAGTATTGGCTCAGGACTGTATTCTTCAGTAACTGGTTCAGTAGGAGGAGTAACACCAGTAGGAGTTGGTGTTGGTGTGGTTGAAGATGAAACAGGACCTCTCTATGAAGGAATAAGAGATAAACATATTAACTGTTGCTTTTCATGAAGTAGCATAATAGATGAGCTATTCCAATCTCTATTTCATAATGCTTAAGCTTGTAGCTGCAATGTATATATATATTTATTTAGTGTCTTACCTGTACAACAGCAAAACTTGACAAATGGGTGGCCATGCATGTAATACCAGTAGTTGAACGGACAGTAGTTACACCATCATTAGACCAAGTAAAGCCTAAAACATAAAATAAATCCCAATAATATAAATTAATATAGTTTAGCATATAACATGCAATTGACACATTTACTTATAACTTACTAGTAGAATCCCAGAAAGCACACTCAGACATGCTATTGCTTGAAGTGACAGTGAATGAGACCATCACTGGGTCACTGAGTCCAGCTACAGGTACACGTGATCCTCCATTGTTATAAACATCAACAGACATGACTATAGTAGAAACAGTGGCACTAGTGTCTTGGA